AATACCAGTTTCCTAATGGATGTGTCATTCAATAACATTATACTTTGAACTACTTTTAGGTCATACTGCTAAATTTAACACTATTTGCTTTCAATTCCTACTTTCAGGATTTTCCTTTCTTTATTTAGTGTAAATAATATATGTTAAATAAAAATAATCTTTTATTTAATATAATTCATTTTATTTTAGTGCATTCATTTACATGTTTTGTAAGCATTCATGTGGTTTGTAAGTCAAATCTGCATGCACCACACATGAATATAACACACACACACACACACACAAACACCAACAAAATAAAATCTGATACAAGGAAAATTACCATTTTCTAGCAAGACATTTCTGGTATTTCAAGGATAAGACATTGGTTAGGATGATAATGAAAGATTTTTACCAATGTCAACAATAAACTTGGAATCCCACAAATCCTTTTCATGATGACAATCAGTTGTAGATCATGTCTAAAGTTGTTCAAGTAAAAGAGACCATAATCTAGAAAGGTGTCCAAGTTACTTGTTAGAGTATTGATCACGACTGCTGAAGATCTGTTCTCAGGAATGCAAATATCCAAACTCACCCTCAATGAGTCTTTTCTTTATTTTGTCAGATTCTGATTCTTTAAAAGGTATTGTCTCCTTTCCAGGGGACTGACTGGGATGCGCCTCCTTATACACCTCTGTGGACGGGCGGTACTGGGGCTGCTCCTTACACACTCCTGTGGAGGGGCAGTGCAAGAGCTGCTCTCTACTAGTGACTTTCCTTGTTGTTGGAAACTATTACCAGACAGGAAGTCACTTAAGCATGGAGGGCGTTATTTTGGTTCACCATTTGGAATTTGCTTAAAGATCAAGCAGGTTTCCAGATCTTACATACATCTTCCCGAGGCAGCCAACCAAGTGGCTTTCAGTAGTCTTCAGCCTTCTGACTGGCTTGTAAATTCCTAGAAACTCTACAGAGCAAAGGTGTGTTTCTTAGACAGATGAGCAAGGAGAGCCTCGAGTCAGCAAGAGATCACTAAGCAATAACAAAAATCTGAAAGATGAAACATGTAAACATGTAAGGGGAACTTTTCCATCTTAATTTGATCAATTCAAATGGAAATGACACTTCTTTCTGACTGAACTAATTAGCAGGGAATTTTAAATGCTAATGAAGAAGAGATAGGGTATAAAGCAGATATTCTCAGGCATTGAACTTGGTGGACAGACTGTGACAGCCTCCTGGGAGGGCAGCAGTGTGGCGATTGAAGTACATACTGCTTGATGAAAGACTAGAGTTTGGAAGCTCTAAGACCTGCACATCAAAACACGGTTTGTCAAAGCATTTATTAGAATGATAAAATATTAGAAAAAACCACCAGTATTCAAATAGGAGGAAACAGAATTATCAAGATGACATTTTTTAAATTAAAATGTTTACAATACTAAATGAAAAATAAACAATTTTATTTACTTGTTTATATAGATTTGGTTTATTTATTGCATATATGACTAGTGTGAATGCAGTATGTGAAGAGTACATATGCATGTTTGCATGTATTTGGGTACACCCATGCCCCATATATATAGATACGGATATGGATATGGATATGGATATGAGGTCTGAAGATAACATTGAGCCCTATCCCTAGTCCACACTCTGTTCTGGAGAGGTCTCTGACTGTTTGGTTCAAGGTGGACAGCTAAGTGTAAGAGCTCAGGTGCCTTTCACCCTAGGGAGACAAAAGGAGCACAGAGTGTATCAGCTCTGAGCTGCAGAGAGCCTGGCACCTGTCAGCAGGAAGAAGCGAGGGGCTGAGCACTGGGAAATGGACTGAGGGACCCAGAAGACCAGGGAGCAGGAGGCCCAGGATCATGTGTGTGGCCTCGGAGCCTGGCGGGACTCTGAGTCTTGTGATAGTGAACAGCAGCTCTGAAGGAAGGCGGCCTGGTGGGTAGAGGGTCAGGTGACCTGGCTCATTCTGGAGTAATGGCCCAACGGAGGAGTCTAAGCTGAGCTCCAGACATCATCAAAGGTTGCACATCATTCTCTCCAGTGCTGAGACAACAGGAATGGAGAAATGGGAACAGAACTTGAGAGAAGCAAGGGATTTAGTCCCATCTGTGCTTTGGGAAGGTTGCCCTAATGGGGGCCTGCTTCCCAAAGAGCTGCGTGCAAAGGTTCAGGGGCCAGGGTAGGGACAGAGATATGGCATTAATGAGAGGAGCCCTGCAGACCTGGTAAAGACCTGTGGAGTTCTGTGAAAGGGAGGACTGGACTGTGAGGATGAGTCCCTGCAAGAGGGCATGGATCCTGGGGCAGCAGGGAGTTTGGGCCAGGAAGAAAGCAATGGGACAGTGGGGGTGGGAGTAGGGGGCGGGACTGGGGGAATGCAGGGTCAAGAGGTAGGTGGCACATCAGGGCATTGAAGACAGTCAGCCTCTCTGCAGGTCCTGGGTTCACTGTGGATGGACCCCAGTCTTCCTGTGGCCCAATAGGCTGATACTCTGACTCCCTCCCTCTGTCTCACATTAATATCCACTGGGAAGGGAAAGATGAAAGGTGCCAAGTGACAGTGATGGGGACACAGGGATGGAGGTTCACATGCCCCCTTGATTGGTTCAGGTGTCAGCAGTGTTGAGAAGGCAGAACCCAGCACTGCAGTCAGCAGCCCCAAGAGTGATCTCTCCTTGTCCCCAGGGCCTCCTTCCTTGATTATGGTGCTGAAAAGAATTTGAGGATGAGCCAGAGAAAAGCAAACCTAGGTTGAAAATTAGGGGAGCATATGCTTTAAAGTGAAGAATGAGGAAGAGAGAATGGGGTGTTTTTACAACGCTTAGGAGTCTTTACAACAGCTTTCTATATGGTCCTGTGGTTGGGTGTGAGCTCATGTATTTGAATGCTTGGTCCACATTTTGGTGAAACTGTTTGGGAAGGATTAGGAGGCATGGACTTGTTGGGGGAGTATGCCACTGGGGTGGACTATGAGGTTTAAATTGTCCACTCCGTCCTGAATTAGCTCTCTCTCTTTTTCTGCCTTGTGTTTGTGGATCAGTTATAAGCTCACAGCTACTTCTTCAGGGTCATGCCCATGTACCTCCTGCTGCCATGCTCCCTACCATGACAATCATGGACCCCAATCTTGTGGAACTGTGAGCTCCAATGTTTGTTTTGTTTTCTTAAGTTGCTTTTTAAAGTTGTTTTGTGTTTTAAGTTGTGTTTTTGTCACAGCAATAGAAAAGCAACTAAGACACGGTGGCTTTTAAAGTTACGTTCCCCAAGGCTATAATTTAAAACAGAGCATAAACCTTAAAATTTAAGTACGTTTTAAAAAGCAATTAAAAATATATGAGCTGAGGGCTAGAGAGATGGCACAGTGGTTAAGAGGTCTCACTGCTCTTGCAGAGAACCTGAGTTCAGGTCCCAGTAGCTACTGCAGGTGGCTCATAACTGCCTGTAACTCTAGCTCCAAGGGATCCAATGCTCTCTTCTGACCTCCACAGGTACCCAAACTCATATCCACATAGTCACACACACACACACACACACACACACACACACACACACACACACACACCTTCACAATAAAGTAACAATTATATATATAATTGAATTATATATATATTTCACAATTGAATATATGAGCTGGGTTTTTTTGTTTGTTTCTGCCTTAATGAATAGCTTTGGAAATGAAAGTGTGAGGTGCCCTTATTAGGTGCATTGCTTAGATTTGGGGATGAGAAAGTAATGCCTGAGTGGCTAGAGTAGAGCTTGGACCTTTGTGTCCCTAATAAGGAAGGCTCAGCCACCCATTCTCAATAGACTAATTTAAAAGGCAGGTAACAGTGAAAAGTGGAACAAGGTTGTCCCATTGTGAAGAGATCAAAGAGGCTAAATGACACCCCAAATATATTAAATAAATATAAACCTGACCAAAGGCTTAGGTTTAACGTCCAAGAGGTATACATAACTAACTGACCAGTCTGGGTCAGGGAGGCCTAATACTCACTGGTTCCCCACAGTGGACTTTGGAGGATTCATACTTTAGGCTTGTTCTTGGGACCTCTTGAGGGGAGACATTGTTTATATCTCCCCAGGTGCGGCATTTTCACAACACCCTACTGGGAGAACACTGGTCCAGATTCAGAAACAGAAGGGAGCATGAAAAAGGGACACAAAAGGCAAGGGTATTCTACATTCGCTTCACTGGCACCTGGCCTCAGAAAACTCCAGGATCCCCATTTTAGGATTTACAGGTGTAGTCTTGCAAAGGTTATCTTAATTGTCATGTTTTCCCCCCTAACAGCAAAGCATTGCAAAGTAACTGTGCCGCAGTAGTAACACTAAGTAAGTGATGGTTTCCTAAATACAGTGCCACCACCTCATCGTTCACTAAGCAGAAAGGGAGACTGTAGGATGAAAGGAACCATTTCCCCCGAGTTTGAAACAACAAGATGGTTGACACTGAAAAGGCAGGAGAAACAACCACTGGTTGTGTTTGAGGCCATGCCGAAACTGCAGGGGAAGAGTTTTAATAAAAAAAAAAGTAAAGCTCTTAGCTCTAAGCAAGACACGGTGTTGCCCGTGTTTGATGTTAGGAGAGGGAACCTATAGGCGGCTTTTTTTCTTACAATCTTCTTGCTTGCGTTACCTGGTGCGGAAGAGCGGAGCCTTTCTACCCCGCCCACCAGCCCCGTCCGCCTTCCTGACCGTGTCCGCGGCTGACTCCAGCCTTGCTGGCCCGCCTCGCATCTTGGCCCCGCCCACCAGTCCGGCTGCGCTCTCTGCCACAGCCTGGCTCCCCTTCCGGTTCCGCCTCCTCCTATGTCACCCTTCCCATTGGTCTCTCGCTGCGCCGCCTGATCCAATCGCAGCACTTAGCGCCAGAATTTGAACCGCCGTTTTCGTTTGAATCGGGCGGGCGCGGCGGGCAGCCTTGGCGCGGAGCTGTCTAGGGAGGCGCTCCGGTCGCGGGCGGAGTGCGGCGGGCGGCGGGCGGCGGGCGGCGGGCGGCGGGCACTTGGGACGCGGGCGGCGGGTGTGCGGGTCGGGGCGGAGCGAAGGACGCGGGTGGCCGCGGTCAGGCCGCCGCGGCTGAGGAGCCCACGGCCCTGACGCGGGCTGGACCCGGTGAGCTGCGGCCCTGGCTGACCAGTGCTGACTGGACCGGCTGAGAAGCGGCCCCGGCGTGGGGGCACGGCGAGCTTCCCCGAGAGGCCACTCCGCCCTCGGCCGCGGTCACTCGCCTCAGACTGACGGCCGGGCGGACCATGGCGTCCTCGGCTCGCCTGGTCACCATCAAGCGGAGCGGCGGTGACGGCGCACACTTCCCGCTGAGCCTCAGCTCCTGCCTGTTCGGAAGGTGAGCGCGCGGTGGGACCTAGGTGACCCCCGGACGCGGCCCTGTCGCCCTTTGCGCCTGACGGCGTTGTCCCTGTCGGGTGTTCGGAAGTCATGCGCGTGTCCCGGGAGCTTCCCAAATGGAACCTGGATTTTACACTTGTTAGGCGCCAAGGTGACTTCGGTGTCCCGCCGCTCCTGCACTGTCGCTCTTCTGAAAACGTAGGAGAGCCCTGCTCGGGTGCTCGGGGAGAATTACCCCCCCCCTCTCTTCCCCGTCGGTTAATAACCCTCCTCTCTGAGGCCTTCCAGGCGGTTGCTTGCCTTGCCCGCCAACTTTTGCCAAGTTTGACCCTTATGGCCCATTCTGCCGATTTTAAAATGTTACCCCAGAAGGTGCTCGTCTGTTCCTAACACCATGAAGATTGGTCACTAGTTTTCAGATTTTTATTTGTCTGTTTCCCAACAGACTAAGCTACAAAAAGCAAGGACTGCCTTGTTAATGACTGCATCCCTAGGGTCCCATATGGTGCCTGATAGTTAAGATCAGTGTGTGACATAGGGTGAGTGACCAGCAGGAAGATAGAGGTTTGCGTTTGGGGGTCAGGCGAGAGTGGTAGTTCTCAGGGAGTTATTTGGCAAAGTCTGGTGAAGTCTTTTTCTGCAGTTAGTATCACTGAGAGAGGAGAGAGACATGGTGTATTTGACAGTGAACAGGACATTGAGGATTCTCTGGTCCAGAATATCTGGCGTATATATTCTTCTTGCAAGTTTTAAAAACTTCGCAAACAATTTGTGTTTTGTTGTGTGGTATTTATAGGAAGTGATATGCTTAGACTCCTGAGCAGCAATTCTCAACCTGTGGGTTGTAGCCCCCCCCCCACCCATAACACCATCAGAAAATACATATATTTACATTACAATTCATAATAGTAGCAAAATTAATTGTGAAGTAGCAACAAAAATAATTTTATGGTTGGGGGTCACCACAGCATGAGGAACAAACCATATTAAAGTGTCAACAGCATTTGGAAGGTTGAGAGATACACGACTCTAGAGGTTCATAGGAAAACAGAGAGTATGTATTTTCAGACCTTTAAAGTTCAGAATGGAGCTGTCAGTGAAACTCCTGGTTTGTGGATGGGTTCTAGAAAGATAATCTAGATACTGTTTTTCATTGCCTGGTGGATTAGTGTTTTGTATTGTGAGGACATTTGAATCTGTCAGCACGGTGTGGTTTTAAAACAACAGTGAAAAAGCTCACATGGATACCGTGTGCCATGTACACAAGTGACACTCATACAACTATGACTGAATCGTAACACAGGTGCTGGTATAGACATTTTGTGTATGCAGAAACCGAGGCACTAGTAACCTATAGCACCTTTTACACTAGTAATTTTCTGTTCTTACTTACACACACCCATATTGTTATAAACACATTAATTGTAAAGTTCTCCTAAAATGATAATAAAGCATTTCATTATTTGTGTCTTGTAAGTACAGCTATTTTTGCTTGTTTGGTTTGGTTTTGGTTGTTTAAGATAGGGTTTCGCAGTGTAGCCCTGGCTGTTCTAGAACTAGCTCTATAGACCAGGCTGGCCTTAAACCCAGAGATCTTTCTGTTTCTGCCTCCCCAGTGCTGATAATCAAAAGTGTGCATTGCCACCATCTGGCTAATATAGCTATTTATATGAAAGGTAATTGATTATGTGTTCTAGTGTTTTCTAATATAATTATTCTGAAGTACTAGAAGTTGTAATAATCTCTTATGACTTCTTAGGCTGTACTGCACCATTACACTTATAGTCTAAGCATATTAGTCAAATTCTGTTTGCTTTTTAAATTTGAGGTTGGTTGTTTTGTTTTGTTGTTGTTGTTGTTTTAGTTGCACACCCCCATAAAAACCTTACTTTTTATTATTATTATTAAGGAGTATTGAATGTGACATTCGTATCCAACTGCCTGTAGTGTCAAAAAAACATTGCAAAATTGAAGTCAATGAGCAGGAGGTAAGTGGGTTTTGGAAATCAACTTTTAAAGCTTTTGAATTTGATTTTAAGCAAATCTTTAGTATTTCCCTCTCCTCTCCACTTGTAGGCAATATTGTATAACTTCAGTTCCACAAATCCAACGCAAGTAAATGGGGCTACTATAGATGAGCCTGTGCAGCTGAAACATGGAGATATAATAACTATCATTGACCGATCTTTTAGGTAGGTAAAAACTACCTGGGTTAATTCTAAATACTGTGTTCTCTTTAACCATGAACTATTTCAACTGTGTTCCCTCTTTGGTGTTGATGGGTGTTGGAAATATCTCATGGGGGTGAGTGTGTGCGTGTGTGTGTGTGTGTGTGTGTGTGTGTGTGTGTGTGTGTGTGTGTGTTTGTGTGTATACAGGTGCTTGCACCTGTGCCTATGGAGAATAAAGGACAGACAACCTCAGGTGTGATCCTCTTTTTAACTGGCCTGGGATTCACCATGTAGGCTAGACTGGCTAGACAGCCAAGCCCAAGGGCCCTTCTGTCTTTGCTTTCGCAGTGTTGGTAGCACATCTTAAAATTCCTAGCTCTTTGACCTTTAAAGAACAATTATGTCAAACTGAGGCAATTAGGCTGGGTACTAACCCACGACTGGTATCTTTATAATAATAAAAGATTAGCACACAGAGGGAAAGCACTGTGAAGAGGCAGGAAGAGGGCTGTTGGTCACAGGAGACCCGGAGGAAGCCATCCCTACAGACATCCTTGGACTTGGACTTCCAGCCAGAACCGTGAGCAGCACATTTCTGTCACTTAAGGCACTCTGTGTTGTAATTATGGCAGTCTTAACAGACTAATTCATGACCACCAAGTCACAAGGGAAATTTATTTCTACACGTTTCTTTTGTACTCTCTTTAATCATGACTTCTTACTAAGCCACCATGATGACTGTGAAAGAGAAGTATCTTTGTAGTCTTGTTACCTGCTGGTGAGCCTCTAAACCCTATAGTTAGCACAAAACTGTGTTTGTGCCTGACTGATGCTCTTGTGTGGGTGTGTGTGATTTATAGCATGTTAGATGCTTTTGGCTTGTTTTTTCTCACAGTGTAGGTATTTCATTAACATCCACAATACATACAGTAATATGTAAGAGTATTCACCATTTATTCGTTCTTGATGGGCATTTCTTTGTGATCAACTGCCCCTACCCCCCACTGTATTTGAAAATGGTATTCTGCAACTACTGAAAGCACGGTTGCTAACTGTAGACCAGTTAAATTCACGATTATTAGGAACTATTTTTTATTTCCCTGCTTCATAGTGTAAGAGATATATTGAAATCACCTACTGAGGACTTATTTATTTTTCTTTAATTAATATCTTTTCTCTATCACTTTTTTGCTTTATATTTTTTTGATGCTACACCGGGCATATGGTTATGGACTTCTGAACATAATTCTAAATTATGCACAGAATTCTTTGTCATTTACAATATCGTCTACTTTTAGTCACATCTTTTTCCTTAGTGATTCCTTTGGATGATTAATGTAAATAAAACCAATTCCTTTTGATTAATGCTCACATAGCACAACTTTTCTACCCCCTTAATTTCAACTCTTTATAATTCTTATAGATTTTGTTGTCTCTGGGGAACCTGCTGTTTTTGAGTGGCTTCTCTTTATGTTGTTTTTTTTAAAGATTTTTTAAAAATTTAGTATGTATATAATCTGCCTGCATGTATGCCTGTACTGTGTGCCAGATGAGGGTACTGGAACACATTATATAGATGGTTGTGAGCTACCATGTAGTTCCTGGGAATTGAACTTAGGGCCTCTGGAAGAGCAGCCAGTGCTTTTAACCTCTAAGCCAATCTCTCCAACTTCCAAATGGCTATTCTTTAAATAGTCTATTTTCTTAGTTCCAACATTTTGGAGGATTTATTCGTAAGTCCTTGTAAATTGTCCTTTGTCTCTATGAACTATTTGAAGGAACATTTTTATTGACTAGACTTCTTGAAAGAAGCTTGGTTCAGCACTGTGATAGCTTGGAGGAGGGTTCCAGATGCTAGCTGTCTTTAGATCTTACATAGACAGCATTTAAATTCAAATTAGGCCAATTCACTGAGGTGCCAAAGTTTTGTTGGATACAGTAAAGGATTTCAGCTATGAATTGATCACCAATATATGTTGTGATTCTAGTGCCATCTTCCTAAGATGTGCCTTTCCTCCAGAGAGATTGAGAAACTAGTGATCATGATTCTAGAACATAGCTTTGTAGTTAGTTTTCCATTTGTATAAGTTTTTAGTATAATATATTTTTCCTAACTAAGCCAATTTATTTGTTTACGGTAATATTATGAACAAAGCCTAGAGTTTGTTCCAGGGTTTATATCTAACCCATGAACCTGGAGGTTCAAATTCTTCTCCTGATTCTCTGGGCACTGTAGGTATGAAAACGGAAATCATGAGGATGGAAGCGAGTCAACAGGATTTCCAGAAAAATCTCTTGGACAGGTGAGGAGAAATATTCAGGTTTGACTTTGATTCTTTTGTCATGGTGGGAACTCATTTATATGCTTTTATACAGCTGATTTCTCACTTTTAAGTTGGTGGCCAAGAACGGCTTTCTAATTATAGCAGAAATAATGTAAGTAACAAAATAAGGAAATAAGTTGATGGTGAACATAGTAAAAATAACTAAAATCATATTTCTTTTGCTATTCAAAAACAGAGTGCTAACTTGGTCTTATATTCTGCTAGACTTGTGTTGTGATCTCACAAGTCTGTGGTTAGACTAGCTTGAATACATAGAAATTGAAAGAAGAAATAAAGATATAACACAGGAAGAAGATGACTGCTCCTAAGTATGGTGGAAGAGGAGGTTTATTGTAGATTTGAGAGCACAGGCAGAGACAAACATCTGGAGAGTTCAGAGTGAACATGGCCTTGAGCAGGACCATATGAGGAGAAGGAGGAGGGGAGAAGAGTTCCCACCAAAGAGGGACAACTTTGGGCCGAGAGACTGGCATAGTTAAAATGATTGAGTTATATAGTGTCCAGAGGAACTTGGGGCGGGCAGCTCAGTCCATGAGCTATCGAAGTATAGAGTAGTGGATGGGGTATGCAGCCAGGAGGACCTTTTAGCAGGTAAAGACTGAGGGATGCCAGGACAACCTGGAGGCCAGCATCCGCTTTGATGGGCACCTCAGTTAGCCATTTGTCACAGGTTTGAGACCTAACAGGAATATAAAAGACATCTCATGAGTCATTTTGTCTCCTACTGATTGTGCCTGTTCATCTCTGTGTATCTAAAGTAATTACATTGTAAAAACTAAGTGCTGAAGAAGCTTCCTAGTTTAGAAGGAAGTGAGTTTAGTGTTTGTCATGTGAAGGAAGGAATTCCATCACTTAAGAATATCAGCAAGATGACTGCCACTGGTATCCTTTACTAAAGCACAATTGTAGACATGTAATTAGATTCTTAGTGGGATTCAGTAATATTAGGGTAAATCTTGAATCTGTCTCTTTTTAGAATACTAGCCAAACTACTACCATGAGTTAGCTGCAGGTCCTTGGATTTAGGAGCCTTAGAGCTCGCCTGCATTTAGCAACAGACATTTTTCCTTCAAGATCTCTGTTATATTAAATACTGCTTCTTCTTTAGAAGAACCCAGCACTCGTGAACCTATGGTGGAAGCTATTTTTGAGGTGTCCCACACATCAGCCACCATTCAACTTGTTAATAGGTTTAAGAAACTGAAATTATTGGTAGTTGTAGACCTATGGGTTATACAAGTACCACTCAATGGTTGATGAGCTATTTGTCTGGTTACTAGTTGGTTAAGTGCTAAAATTCATAGTAATATAATAGAAATTTCATGCCTGTTTAATATAATCATGTGAAAATTACAGGGATGGGAAGATAGCTCGGTATAAAGTGCTGTTTCTGTAAGCATGTGCATCTGAGGTTTGATCCCCTAGAGCCTTTGTAAAAACTGGGTGTCACGGGTGTGGTAACACATACCTCTAATTCCTATCACTGAGGAGGCAGAGATAGGATTCCTGGTGTTTGGTGAGGCTGGTCTAGCCACATTGGTGAGGTTCTAGGTTTAGTTTTGTACCCATCCCAAGAAATAAGATAGTGAGCAGTTAAGAAAAATATCCAGCATCAACTCTGTTCACAGCATGCACAAACATACATTCTTCACCTCCAAAATTATTTTGTATTGCAGAATATGTAGGGACTGTCTATTGGTACAAAAAGAGTATTGGATTTGCTATTCAGGCTCCAAATTGTGCCTGTGGATGTGCTACTCTTCTGTGTGCCTCAGCTTCCTGACTCTGATACATACCAGATACCTACCTGCTAGGAATAAGAACACAGGTATTTGTAGAACTGCAATTTAGCACATCTGGGCAGAGCATTTCCGGTAAAACTTATGGCGCCTATAGTTTTGTGCCTGTGGTGACTTAGCAGATAGAGGAACTTAATTTTAATTTTGTTTCTTCCTTCATGTGATGCTGGGAGATCAAGAAGTTCTAGAAAACATACTAGAGTGGGGGCCTAGGGAGATGGCTTAGAGATTAAGAGTGCTCTCTGCTCTTCCAGAGGACCCAAGTTCAGTTTCTGGCCTCTACAGGAACTCACACAAATGTGCCTAGATATATACATATAGGTAAATACAAAAACAAACCTTAAAATAAAAAAAAGAAAACTCTTAAGTCAGCTAAGAAGTGCTTAGGTCATGACCACTAGCTTTCAAGTCACTTGGATCTATTCTCAAGTCTCTAAATGTCATAAAGAAAAAGCATCTTGCTAAAGAATATAATTAATAAAAGGAATAATTTCATTGTTTCAACATGGCCACACTAAGAAAGGCAATTAAATTCCTGTTCTTCCCAATTTGTAGGAACCAGCACGGCGAGCCTCGAGAGCTAGCTTCTCTGCTGACTCTGGTTGGTATTGGTTGGTTTCTGTTCTGGGACTGTCTGTATCAGACCACTATGACAGTGGCAAGGGTGGGATCATGGGTATGCAGGCATAAAATTCCTGGTCTCTCAAGTTCTTAAGAGCCTGTTCCATTTAACATGCCAAACCAAAGCAGATAGATAGTTGGGTAATTTCTTCCCTAGTGCTTGCTTTTTTAGTTGTCTATGTAATCGTGAGTTGTCTGGTGGGATATGTTAATATCACTGGTTATTCAAAGCTGATGTGTTTTATCTGGATGGAAACAACATTATGAGACAAATATAAGGAGTTAAGTAATTTGTGGACTAAATGAAAAGCTAGGTTTTAAGGCAATCTAACATTAGGCACCCAATTCCAAAAATGTTAGTCATTGAGAAAATGTTGAACTTCTGTTTCTTATTTCATATTTGTTGCCAAGATGGGAAAGGTCAAGATGCTGAAGCTTCAAAAACCACTGCTTCAAGAAGATCTTTGGTGCAGGCCAAGAAGCTCCTTGGAGAAAGTTCTGCCTCAGATGGCTCAAAGGACAGTGTCACCCAAGATCCATCCAATACCTGTTCTTCAGGGCATGTAGAACAGCACAGTGGCAGAAACCTAGGAGAGTCCACTTCTGGTGATCTTTCTAAGAAGTCCAGGGCTACAGGGAGCAGTTATAGGGAACTGAAGTCTTCTCCTGCACATAGCCTTAGCAACAGCAAGAAAAATGAATCTCCCTTTGAGAAACTTTATCAGTCAATGAAGGAAGAGTTGGATATCAGATCACAAAAACCATCTCGTAGGAAGTCAGAACCACAACCTGAATGTGCAGCAGAAAAAGAAATGTGGGAGACAAAGCTATTGGTGTCATGCAAGTCAAGAGCGAAATCCAGTGGAAGCACCCCTGGCACTGCAGCCTCTTCACCCAAGGTAGGAAAGGTCTGGACTGAGACCCAGGGCAGTGCTATGGGGTCTCTTCAGACTTCCACAGAGGCTCTGAGTTCTAGCTTCTCTCTCGCTGAGACAGCTACAATGAAGACCCCGGTGCGGACTTCACAACAACTTAAGAATGAAGACTTCCATGTTAGTAGCAGAAGAGAGTCTGTGAATCTGGATGAAAGTGAAGGTGCCAAGGCAGTCCATAAGATAGTCACTCCCAGGAAGCCAGGAACTAGAAACCAAACTCCAGTGAAAGTTGAAGATGCTGACAGCCCTGCTGATACACCAGAAAATCTCTTTTCCAAAAAGAGGAGGAGTATTCCTGCAAAGGTAGAAATGCTGTCTGCAGAAACACAAAACTGGTCCTCTTCAACTCAGCACCTTGTTCCAAGTGAAAAGAAAACTCCAAAGGAGTCCTTCAACAGGCCTGAGAAATTGGCCACAGCAGCTGAGCAGATTTGCTCTGGGCTACCTGGTCTTAGTTCGGTTGATATCAGCAACTTTGGTGGCTCCATTAGTAAGTTGTTTAATTGTAGATCTACTTTCGCTAATAGATTAATATCTATCCTATGTATCATGAGTTAGCAAGGTGTTCCTTCTGTGTATAGGTCCTGAAGACTTTGCCTTTTATAAGGAGGAGTAACAGGAGGTGTAGCTAGTTTAGGGGAAAACCACTTCAGGAAAAATGTAAAAATTTTCTTTTACAAAGTAAGAGGTATAATCTTAACGGCTTTTCACTTAACTCCTGGTTCTGAATACCAGTTGTATTTTGTGAGGTTGGTCCTTGGGAATAAAGCCCAGGCAGTCCTTTGAACATCACTGAATGTACAGTAGCCCTTGGGTGTTCCACACTGTTCTTTGTTGCTTATAAGCACTTTACTATAGACACTGGATTCAGGTTTCTATACCAGCAAAGTTCTACATGCTTCCAAGATGTTAAGATTTTGTTTTTCTGCCAGTAGCCATTGATGTGACTATCCTTCGGTGACACTTATACCCATCTGCTGGTATTCCATTGAACCTCATAATGGAGTGTATGTCCTGGACAAGGGTTTATGTAGACTGTTCCCAAAGTTGTATAATAGGGTTTGGGTTGCATACACTGCCCACAGGCACTACCTAGAGATTTTTATCTGCTCATATAGTTTACTCATAAGGCAGGTCTGGATTATGTGTCAATTTAATAAGTTTCCGCAGGCCATTGCTCAGGTTCTGACTTCTCTGGTAGAAAGTGATACCTGCTGCAGATAACTTTCTTAAGCTATTTCACATGCAATTTTCAGTTTTAAGGAGAATCCTGGTTCTGTCCAGTTGAAGTACAATGCCTCTGGTTTCTCCTGAGATCTTTTAGGAAGTCCTGAGACTGCTCGTCCTTTATTAGTTTTATGAATAAAGGTGCCATGTCTCAATGCCTTCTTGATGCCTTACTTTCTAATGCTAGTTTGAATTAAGTCCTAAGTCCTAGCACAGCATATATATATATTGCTCTTTTCATCTTTGCATTCCTTCAGACAAGAGTGAGGGAATGTCTTTGAAGAGAAGACGTGTATCCTTTGGTGGTCGTCTAAGACCTGAATTGTTTGATGAAAACTTACCTCCTAATACACCACTCAAAAGAGGAGAAACACCAATCAAGAGGAAGTCACTCACCACTCACACTCCAGCTGTCCTGAAAAAAATCATCAAGGTAAGCTGGTCAGTTGGCATTGCGTTTATACCCCGTAGCTCACAGATGGTCCATGTTCCACCCAAAACCCAGGCAGAGGCAGAATGGCAATAGAGACTTTGTTTTTCTACCACTTACCTCATGCCCAGAAACAATCATAAGGGCTCTCAGGTGGTTCTGAGAAGTGAGGTTGTATCCTGGGGCACACTAACAACATTTAAAAGAATCTGAAGATAGCAGCATGTGTGGTCACAAGGGTTGATTTGATTACTTATGGAAGTATAGGGGCATTGGGGTTTTGGTAAAACATCTGTTTTCTGAACATTCAGCTCCTTGGACCTTAGACCTTCTGTCACTGTTTTGTTGCTTTTTCTTGGTGTGGCTGCATAGTTCAGTTTCCTAAAAGGTCCTGGGCCAGCTTTATTCTGTTAGTACCAAACCTTGTCTCACCTCCTGGAAGTGAGCAGTCCCTTCCATGCAGACCCCAGGGCTGATATTGGCTGGCTGAAATCAGAGTGCCTTGTTTTATTGAGCAATGATCCTGTTTTGTTCCACCAGAAATATCTCAGTTCAGACTTCACTGATACATATGTCCCCTTCCTCTGCTTAAATGAATGGGACAACTGACTCCTTTCTTATCCTAGAAAGACAGGACTTAAAAGCTATGTGGTTTGTTGTAAAGGTTTTTAATAGACACTACAGAGATGTTACCTTTTTGATCAGGTTTCTCATAAACAACAACTCTACCTTGTCAGGAACGGCCTCAGTCACCAGGGAAACTAGAGCCTCCTGGAGTAACTCCACCAACAGCAGACGGTGAAAGGCGCAGATCAAGCAGGATCTTGCCTGCTTCCAGTGACAGCAAATCCTTGCATCAGACAGACACTCCCAAGAAAGCAGGCAGGAAGAGTGGCAACCTGCCTGCCAAGAGAGCATCCATCAGCCGAAGTCAGCATGACATTTTACAGATGATTTGCTCCAAAAGAAGGAGTGGTGCTTCTGAAGCCAACCTGATTGGTTAGTGGTGTCCTGGGCAAAATATTTCAAGCTCAATTTTCTCATGCTGAGTTTTGAAAAGTTTCACCATCTTTTCCTTTTGACAGTTGCAAAATCATGGGCAGATGTCGTAAAACTCGGTGCAAAACAAACACAGACTAAAGTTGTAAAACATGTTCCTCAAAAGCAGACGAGCAAAAGACAAAGAAGACCTAATACTCCAAAGGTACAGTACTCCAGCCATGCACTGCTTTTAATCTCAATTGTCTTAAATGTATATTGTTCATGCTGTGATATTTTATCTGTCTTTCTTTTGTCTATAGAAACCTACAAGCAATCTTCACAATCAGTTTAGTACAGGCCATGCAAACTCTCCCTGTACCATTGTAATAGGGAGAGCTCAGATTGAAAAAGCAAGCATGCCTGCTCGGCCCTACAAAATGCTGAACAACTTGATGTTAAACCGGAAAATGGACTTCAGTGAAGATCTGTCAGGTAAATGCAGCCTGAACACTTGTAGTCACAGCCTTCTTGGTCCTTCTGTTTGTGACTTCCTTGGTGTTTGTTAGTTCCACCCCACCCCTTACAACCAACCACCATAGAACCCCAGTTGGGAGCTCAATGGCAGTGTGTGTAACAAACAATTGAGCCAGCTTTCTGGTGTTGTAATATTCAGAAATGAAGTTGGTTGGAAGTAACGGACAGGTCTCTATCAATTTGGGGGATTTGTGCCCTACAGGAATCAATGATGGATATCTCAAGTGCATATCCTCTGAGCTGCATGTGTACAGAAAATGTGTACATTTGTGGTGTGAGGGCAAAGGGCTCTATTACTAACTTTGTCAGAGTTGCACTGATGGCTGATCCCAGGGAATCAGTTGGTTTAGAGCAATATTAATGCTTCTTCAAAATTCCTTTTCTTTCTAGAGAGCTTGCTGAAAAGGAGCCATAAAAGAAAGTTCTTTAGAGCCACTGATTGAACAGTTTCCACTGTTTTGAGTATCAGTGAAAGTGTGACTGGATGTTTAGACTTATTCTCAAGAAAACAGATTAATTTCATGTTCCTCAGTATGTGATACTTTCTAGTTGTATAATTTGAAAGAGAATTAAGATAAGACAAAGACAAAAACAAAAAAGTAGATTAGTGCATGTGGTTATGTTATGAGTGTGTGATGAATACATACACACACATTTTTAAAAACTCGCAAAGATAAATAAGATTTTAAATACATTGTGCCTAATACAGTGGATTATCATAAATGTTCCTTCTTCCTAGACCCATTCTTAGAGTCAAACAATTCTCATCCCTTGGTGTAGGCAGCTCCTCCTATACCCTTTTCTTTTTCTCTTGGCACAGAGTCTTAATTATCCGGACTTCCTTTAAACCCACAGAGCTCCTACCTTTTTAGGGCTGCCATGCCTGGCTTGGCAGCTTCCATTTTAAAATAATAGAAAGTAAACCCCTTTAAGTATTTCAAGTAAGACCCAGAAGGCTATGGAAGAAGATTTTCTGAACAGACTAGTGTGGATGGGCATCTTAGTGGTTCCCAGACCCATTCTGTGGTGAGTGCCAGCTCAACTTCTCATTCTTTGGAGGCCAAAAGACAGGAGCATGGCACACGAGCTTTTCACAAGGCTTAATCTTCCATATGGAGTTTTGTCACTACTGCCTTTTTGGTTTTAAAGTGAATGGAGATGGCACTTAGATTATAGTGTGTGTGTGTGTGTGTGTGTGTGTGTGTGTGTGTGTGTGTGTGTGTGTGTGTGTGTGTGTGTGTTTGTGTTTTCTTGATAGATCCACTGAAAATGGTCAATGCTCTGTCAGTATTCTACAATGTGGGCACACATTATTTGTACATAGGATTTAGATCCTGAGAAACCTAGGATTTCTTGAGCACAGAACAAGGCCCTTAGGTTGTGGATTCCTGGCATATATCCCCCGAGAAGAGGTTCCCATGTCCAGCTTTTGTCCCCCTGCCAGGACTGACTTTTGAGAACTAGTGTAGAATACTATAGAGGTCAACTAAATCACTTGCTTTGCTATCCTTTTCCATAGAAGAGGATTAGAGAAACTGGATATATTTAGCTTCTCATTGGCCCCTACCCCATCCCTTTTTAAATAGACATGTTAACAAAATCACCATTTTAATGAAATGATGTATACCTGGAATCTGAGAGCTTCTCTGTCATCTAGCTTGTTCTGTGTGGGGAATGGGATAATGTAAGACATGTTTCCAATATTTTCCTTTATCAGGATTAACTGAAATGTTTAAGACTCCAGTGAAGGAGAAGCAGCAGCAGATGAATGATATGGCCTCCATTCTTTCAAATTCAGAGAATTTGCCTGAAAAACAGTTTCAAGTGACTAATTCAGAAAACAAACCTCTGCCTAGCACCTCAGAAATTTTAGGTTGGTGTATTTGTTTATTTCCACTGTTATACTTTTGAATGGGGACTTAAAGATGACTTTTTTCTTTATGGACAATACTGTATTCCTTCTGTACAATAGCTTTCTCTGGTGAAATGCCATTTCCATCTTCTCTGTTCTTCAGTAGGCTTTGCAGTGTTACTAACATTAATCATTAATCTAGCTTGGAAGGAAGAATTATTGACTCGGTTAATAAGTTTAAATGATGTCGATATACTTTTAATGTCTTTGTTATAAGAGGATGGAAGCACAAACAGTACACTTGGCCTGTCATATATAAATTACACAAATTAAGAATTATTGCAAGGATAGAGATGCAGCTCACTTGGTAGAGTGCTTGCCTGGCAGGCAGGAAAATTTAGGTTCAGTCCCTAATATTGCAAAAACTTGGTGTGGTGATGACTGCCTGTAATCCTAGTACTCGGAATCAGAAGGTCATTGCTGATTACATATAGAGTTTGATAATGGGCCCTAAACACAACACTAGAACCTGTTACTTCATTAGAATCAAGATAATAAATAACTGTTTCTGATGTTTCAGAACAAAAATTGTTTGTGTCAGGTCCATGTCATATGTCATGGCAGCCTTTAAAAGATGCTTCTTAGCCGGGCGTTGGTGGTGCACACCTTTAATCCCAGCACTCGGGAGGCAGAGGCAGGCGGATCTCTGTGAGTTCGAGGCCAGGCTGGACCGACAGCCTCCAAAACAATACAGAGAAACCCTGTCTCAAAAAGCCAAAAGAAAAAAAAAAAAAAGATGCTTCTTAAGTACCTGCTGTATCATCAAGTAACATTATAGTACAGGCTTGAGATCATGTAGTATCTTGTTATAGTAAACTATATTATTGGTTCTTAAACATTTCTTAAAGATAAAATTCTAAGCTGACCTTAGATGGTGAAAATAATATGTTCATTGTATAAATATATTTTGTTACTTATAGGAGAAAATGTGCTCTCCAGTACTCAGAATGCAGCAAAGGGACCATCTGATAAAAGTTCTGCAAGTCCTACCTTAAGGCGGAGGAGCATCAAAAATGGAAACACAGTGCAAACTCCTAAGAACATCCATGACATTACTCACGAAGAAAAGAAGACTCCAGGCTCTGTTACAGAGCTTCTGAAGACAGTATCCAGTGTGAACAAGTTAAGAAGGTCTAGAGAGCTTAGACATACACTTGTTGAAAGTATGAATGAAAACACAGAAGCGGGTGTTGCCAAGGGCATCACAGGAAGACACTTAAGGAAGACATCACTTCAAGGACAAGAAGTGCAGGACAGTGAAAACACTTCGCAAAGATTCAAGGAAATTGTTGAATTAAAGGACATTCCAGAAAAAACATCAGCTATAAGATCATGTGCCAGGGAGCAGAAGCCAACAAAAGACTCAATAGAAAGTCAGATGGTCACCCAAACAGCAGCCTGTGCTAAAGAACTACTTAATCAGGAAAAGGGAACCACAGACACACCAGAGGAATCCATGCACATGCAAAACACACCAATAAATGATGGTCAACGAGCTACAAAAGAGAAGATGGACCTAGTATATACAACCAAAGTGAAGCGCTGGTCAAACACTCCTGACAAAAAGACACAACCTCTAAAAGTCCCAGCTGGTCTTAAGGAGTCTTTTGAAACACCAAACTGCAGAGACAAAACCATAGGTGATGATAAAACCAAAGTCCTTTGCAAATCTCCACAACCCACATCAGAGAGTACCAAAACAAGCACAAAACCACGGCCCAGCATATCTGGAAAGAAAGTAGACATGAAAGAAGAATACTCAACACAAAATAAGTTTGTGGACGTGTCAGGAGGAACTAGGTACACCCCTAGAGTTCCAGAACTTCAGCACGGGGGCATCAAAGCTTTGAAGGAATCTGAAAATCAAATGGTGGACCTGACTGTAACTGGTAGCAAGAGGCTGGTAGGAAAAGCTAAGGAAAAGACTCAGCCCCTGGAAAACCTGGATGGCTTCCAGGAACTCTTTCTATCACCAGTTCCTGCTGACAAAATCACAAAAATGCCCAACAAATCTCCATATGTAGAACATATCAAAACTCCAACAAGCGCAAAGAGACTGTCCAAGACAGGTCTCAGCAAGGTGGATGTGAGAGAAGAGCTTTCAACTCTTGAGAAACCAACAAAGTCACCGGGCAGAGTCACACACACACTCACAGTACCAGTGCTGAAAGAAACTGACAGCACAGACATAATAGAAACTCCAAAGCAGAAACTGGACTTCACAGAGAATTCAACAGGATGCAAGAGAAAGGCACAGACACCTAAGAACAGGGCTCAACCCCTGGAAGACCTGGATGGCTTCCAAGAACTATTCCAAACTCCAGTTGGTGTCAGTGATCCAGTGACTGTTGGGGAAACTACAAAGTTGTCTTTGGACTCTGCACAAGCAGAACCAGTCAGAACCCCAGCAAGCAGAAGGAGACTGTCTAAGACAGTTCCTGGGAAAGAGGATTTGAGAGAAGAGCTTTCATCCCTTGGGAAACGAACAAAGTCACCAGGCAGAGCCACAGGCACACCCACAGTACCAGTGCTGGAAGAGAGTGACAGCACAGACATAATGGAAACTCCAAAGCAGAAACTGGACTTCACAGGGAATTCAAGGAGTAGGAGAAGGTCGCAGGCACCTAAGAATAGGGCTCAGCCCCTAGAAGACCTGGATGGCTTCCAAGAACTCTTCCAAACACCAGTTGGTGCCAGTGGTACAGTGACTGTTGGGGAAACTACAAAGGTATCTTTGGAATCTCTGCAACCAGGACATATCAGAACCCCAGCAAGCACAAAGAGACTGTCCAAGATAGGTCTTGGAAAGGTAGATGTAAGAGAAGAGCTTTCAACCCTTAGGAAACAAACAAAGTCACCAGGCAGAGCCACAGGCACACCCACAGCACCAGTGCTGGAAGAGAGTGACAGCACAGACATAATGGAAACTCCAAAGCAGAAACTGGACTTCACAGAGAATTCAACAGGATGCAAGAGAAGGTCACAGACACGTAAGAACAGGGCTCAACCCCTGGAAGACCTGGATGGCTTCCAAGAACTATTCCAAACTCCAGTTGGTGTCAGTGATCCAGTGACGGTTGGGGAAGCTACAAAGTTGTCTTTGGACTCTGCACAAGCAGAACCAGTCAGAACCCCAGCAAGCAGAAGGAGACTGTCTAAGACAGTTCTTGGGAAAGAGGATTTGAGAGAAGAGCTTTCATCCCTTGGGAAACGAACAAAGTCACCAGGCAGAGCCACAGGCACACCCACAGTACCAGTGCTGAAAGAGACTGACAGCACAGACATAGTGGAAACTCCAAAGCAGAAACTGGACTTCACAGGGAGTTCAAGGAGTAGGAGAAGGTCACAGACACGTAAGAACAGGGCTCAACCCCTGGAAGACCTGGATGGCTTCCAAGAACTCTTCCAAACTCCAGTTGGTGTCAGTGATCCAGTGACGGTTGGGGAAGCTACAAAGTTGTCTTTGGAATCTGCACAAGCAGAACCAGTCAGAACCCCAGCAAGCAGAAGGAGACTGTCTAAGACAGTTCTTGGGAAAGAGGATTTGAGAGAAGAGCTTTCATCCCTTGGGAAACGAACAAAGTCACCAGGCAGAGCCACAGGCACACCCACAGTACCAGTGCTGGAAGAGACTGACAGCACAGACATAATAGAAACTCCAAAGCAGAAACTGGACTTCACAGGGAGTTCAAGGAGTAGGAGAAGGTCACAGACACGTAAGAACAGGGCTCAACCCCTGGAAGACCTGGATGGCTTCCAAGAACTCTTCCAAACTCCAGTTGGTGTCAGTGATCCAGTGACGGTTGGGGAAGCTACAAAGTTGTCTTTGGAATCTGCACAAGCAGAACCAGTCAGAACCCCAGCAAGCAGAAGGAGACTGTCTAAGACAGTTCTTGGGAAAGAGGATTTGAGAGAAGAGCTTTCATCCCTTGGGAAACGAACAAAGTCACCAGGCATAGTTGCACATACACCCATAGCATCAGTGCAGCAGGAAAAAGGGATAAGAGCAATTATGGAAACTTCAAGTCAGGAAGTGGAGTCTGCAGGAAATTTAAGAGGGCCTAAGAAACAGTCTAGAACACCTAAGGAAGAGGGCCAATTTCTAGAAGACCTATTTGGTCTCCAGGGGCTCTTCCAAACACCAGACCATGGCAATGGCCTATTGGCTGTTGGTAAAACAAAAAAGAAATCCATCAATGCTCTGCAACCAGAACCTGTAATAACCCCTAAAAGCATAAAGAGACAGTCCAGGGCCAGTATGGGTAAAATAGAAGTGAAAGAAGAACTTTCAGAATCAGAGAAACATCCACAAATAGCAAAGGCCATAGACATACAACAAATACCTAACAATAGTAATGTCAGAGCATCGAAGCAATGTGCAAAGCGGAAACTGGATCCAGCAGCTAGTATGCCTGGCAGCAAGAGGCTGCGACGTGCATCTAAGGATAAGACACCATGCCTAGAAGAACTGAGTGGTTTCCAACAGCTCTTCCAAACACCAGGCCATGCTAAAGATTCACTGTCTGTTGGTGAAACCTCAAAAATGCCCACCAAATCTCCACAGTCAGGAAGCCAAATCAGTAGAAAGAGTCTCCCCAAGATCAGTCTCAAGAAAGTGGATGTCACAGAAGAACTTTCAGTACTCTGGAAGCAGTCACCAGGCAAAGCCCCCACAGCACCAGTGCAGCAGGATAATGGGATACAAGCAATTAAGACTCCAAAAGGGAAACTAGAGACTGCAGCAAATGTAACTGGGCTTACAAGACAGCAAAGAGCACCTAAGGAAAAAGTCCTACCCCTGGAAGACTTTGATGGCTTCCAGGAACTCTTCCAAATACCAGACCATAGCAATGATCCAGTAATTGGTAACAAAAGAACAAGTATGTCCTTGAAATCTCAACCAGTACTTGTTAGAACCCCACAAACCTCAGAGAGACTAGCAAAGACAAGTCTTGGGAAAGTGGGTGTGAGAGAAGATATCTCCTCTCTGGATATGCAAAAGCTTGCTGCAGGGGAGAGTGTACAAATACCCAGTCTTCCAGAAGATGATAGCAGAGGGAAGAAGGATCTGAGGAAATCCAGAACTCAGACACTGGGCCCGTCAGTAAGTGTAACTCAAAGCAAGAAGCAGCAAGGGGTACATAAGGAAAGGTCTCAGTCCCCAGAAGACTTATTTGGTCTCCAGGAGCTCTTCCAAACACCAGCCAGTCAAGATGTAATGACTGTTCATGAAACTACAAAAATGTCTTTGGAATCTTCAGAACCAGAACATATCAGAACCCCTGCAAGCACAAAGAGACTGTCTAAGACAGGTCTCGGGAAAGTAGGTGTGAGAGAAGAGGTTTCAACCCTTGGGAAACGAACAAAGTCACCAGGCAGAGGCACACACACATCCACAGCACCAGTGCTGGAAGAGAGTGACAGCACAGATATAATGGAAACTCCAAAGCAGAAACTGGACTTCACAGGGAATTCAAGGAGTAGGAGAAGGTCACAGGCACCTAAGAACAGGGCTCAACCCCTAGAAGATCTGGATGGCTTCCAAGAACTCTTCCAAACACCAGTTGGTGCCAGTGGTACAGTGACTGTTGGGGAAACTACAAAGGTATCTTTGGAATCTCTACAATCAGGGCATATCAGAACCCCAGCAAGCACAAAGAGACTGTCCAAGATAGGTCTTGGAAAGGTGGATGTAAAAGAAGAGCTTTCAACCCTTAGGAAACAAACAAAGTCACCAGGCAGAGCCACAGGCACACCCACAGCACCAGTGCTGGAAGAGAGTGACAGCACAGACATAATGGAAACTCCAAAGCAGAAACTGGACTTTACAGGGAGTTCAAGGAGTAGGAGAAGGTCACAGGCACCTAAGAACAGGGCTCAACCTCTAGAAGATCTGGATGGCTTCCAAGAACTCTTCCAAACACCAGTTGGTGCCAGTGGTACAGTGACTACTGGGGAAGCTACAAAGTTGTCTTTGGAATCTGCACAAGCAGAACCAGTCGGAACCCCAGCAAGCAGAAGGAGGCTGTCTAAGACAGTTCTTGGGAAAAAGGATTTGAAAGAAAAGCTTTCATCCCTTGGGAAACGAACAAAGTCACCAGGCAGAGCCACAGGCACACCCACAGCACCAGTTCTGGAAGAGAGTGACAGTACAGACATAATAGAAACTCCAAAGCAGAAACTGGACTTCACAGAGAATTCAACAGGATGCAAGAGAAGGTCACAGACACGTAAGAACAGGGCTCAACCCCTGGAAGACCTGGATGGCTTCCAAGAACTCTTCCAAACACCAGTTGGTGCCAGTGATCCAGTGACTGTTGGGGAAACTACAAATGTATCTTTGGAATGCCTACAACCAGAACCAGTCAGAACCCCAGCAAGCACAAAGAGACTGTCCAAGACAGGTCTTGACAAGGTATATTCGAGAGAAAAGCTGTCTCTCCTGAACAAGCCAAGAGGTTCATCACAGGAAGTCATGCATGCACTCAGACTTTCAGAAGATGATGACAGAGGAACCAAAGATTTGAAGGAATCTGTGACTCAGGCATTGGACCCAGCAGTAAGTTTAACTTTCAGCAAGAGGCGGCGTGGGGCATGTAAGAAAAGATCCCAGTCCCCAGAAGACCTTTTTGGTCTCCAGGAGCTGTTCCAAACACCAGGCTATGATAAGGATTCAGTGACAGGTGATAAGCTCACAAAAATGCCCCACAGCTCTCCGCCACCAGAGCCAATAGAAACTTCAGTAACCTTACAGAGACAGCCCAGAACTAGACTGATGAAAGTTCCTGTGAAAAATCAACTGTCAGGAGACAGAATGCTTCCACAAATGTCAGGGGAAATCATGGATATGTCTAGAGTACCAGAAGGTGAAGACAAAGGCTTTAGCACAAGGAAGCAATCTGTAAAACGGAAATTGGACACAGCTGTCAGTGTGCCCAGCAGCAAGAGGCAACGAGTTGCACGAGCAGAAAAGGCACAGACCCTAGAGGGCCTGCCTGGCTTCCAAGAGCTCTCCCAAACTCCAAGCTCGGCAATGGACTCAGTGACTATTGACAAAACTACAAAGATGCCCAGCAAATCTCCAGAGCCCATGGACACAACTTCAAAGACACAGCCAGGAAGAAGACTCAGGAGAGTGGGTGTGACCAAAGAGCCTATAACACAAAGAACGACTACAAGAGTGTTACGCGAAACCAGAAACACAACCAAAAAGCCTGTGGGTGACAGTAAAGATGTCAAAGAATTTAAGGAATCTTCACAGAAACAAGACTCAGCTGTAAGTTTAACTGGCAAGAGGAGCCAATCAAGGACACTTAAGAAGAAGACCCAACCCTTAGAGGAGCTGTCCAGCATCCAAGAGGAAACAGCCACAAGATACTCTTGTGAATCTCCACAACCAGAAAAAAATGAAACCTCAGTAGCCTCAAAGAGGCAGCTCAGAGTACGACTGTGCAAAATAGATGTGAAACAAGAGCACTCAGCACAGAGAAATCCACCAGGCAGGCAAACCAGGAGCACACTAAAAGAGCCCATAAGTGGTAGTGGAAATGTTGAAGAGCTTAAGGAGTCTACAAAGCAGAATATTGACCTGGCAGCAAGTGTGCCTGTTAACAAGAGGCCACGGAGAGTACCCAAGGAAAAGTCACAACCCCTAGAATTGGCTGGTCCCAAAGGACCAAGTCCTGCTGAGGAATCAGCAAGTGATGAAAGACCCACACAGGTGCCCTCCAATTCTCTACAATCAGAACAAGGAGATAGCCTCCAGACCTCACCAAGATGTCCCAGGACAAGACGAGGGAAAGTAGAGGTGAACGAAGTGCCTTCATTAGTGAGGAAGACAGTGCCATCATCAAGGCAAACTTCAAGATCCCGCAAGGTCCCTGAAATTGATGACAGAGACATCCAAGCTTCAAAAGAACCTGGAAAGCAGAAATTGGAAACAGTCACCAGTGTAACTGGCAGCAGGAGGCAGCTAAGGGCACCTAAGGATGGGGTTCAATCTCTTGAAGTCCTGGGTGACTCCAAAGAAGTAACTCAAATGTTAGAGCACACTGATAAACTAAGACATGACACCAGTAGCCTTAAAAGCACTCTCCAACAAATGCCAGACCCCATAAAACCTCTAAGAACATCCAGGAGAGTGCTGAGGGCCTTGAAAAAGGACACTATGGAAACAACCTTGGAAATGGTGATGGATACCAGAGACCCTGCAGAATCACAAAACAAAAGCTACACTTTACTGCCCCCCAAGAGGAAGTCTGCAAGAGATGGAAGTGTTCCAAGAACCAGAGGGGTATGCTCTGTGACTCCAAAGCAGGAAGCAACAGATGAGAAACCTGCCCCTAAGAAACAGAGGACTGCTTCCAGCAAGAGGCATGTGTCACCCGAGCCTGTGAAGATGAAACAGCTGAGAATCATGTCAAACAAAATTGAACCAGTGGAAGAGCAGATTAGCAACATTAGGGAAGAAAAGGAAGCCCAAGTAGAAAAGGAAGGCCATCCAGACCAGGTGATGGGGATGGACATAGTGGGTGCTTGTTGGGAAGGATGGGGCCCATTTTGCTACAGTTATTTGTGTGTAATGGGGTTTATTCACAGATAATCATTTCCTCATTGTTTCTATTTACCACCATTAATAGCGTTGGCCATTGAACCTTTGGGGATTTGCACAGGAACAAACTAACTCCTTAAAGTTTTCCTGTTTGAATAAGACCTAATTAAAAGTGGCTGTAGTAGTTCTCAGGGAGTGAATGAATTGCATGTTTCTTTAGTTTGAAGAATTAATCAAAGAACAGATGGGCAGTGTAGTTCTGTGTATGTAACAGTATTCAAATAAGAAACATGTTCTGGGGCTACAAAGATGGCTCAGCGACTCTTAGCATTGACAGTTCTTCTAAAGGACCCAGTGTTGTTCTTTCATTTAAATGAAAGTGCACTGTGGAACACAAGATACGAGAGATACATTAACCATAGTTTATTACAGGGCAGGAGAGCAACGTGGGGGGGGGGACTAAGAGGGTAAGAGAAGAGAGGATGAGAGAGTAAGAGCAGAGCATGAGCGAGAGAGTAGTAAGTGTAGGGGGAATCTTAAAGGGGTCCTTTACACTAGCTCTCATGGAACCCTGGGCTGACCAGAGTGCTGCCTGAGTGCATTCTGCCAGGTAATGGGCAGGCCAGTATAATGCCTGAACCTTTCACCCAGGGTTGAATTCCTAGCACCCACGTGGCAGTTCACAACTGTCTGTAACTCCAGTTCTAGTGGCCCTGACACCTTCACACCAATGCACATATTTAAATAAATTATTTAAAAAACAAACAGGTGCTAAGGTTCATATAGCCTTGAGCCTTGAGAAGGAACAGGGAATGGCACCCCTCAGATTGCAGGCCCTTGTTTCTTCTTGATCGTTAAAGGACCAGGGGCTCATTTACTGCCTGTATGGTGGGCATTCTTCAATAGTATGAACTAGTATGATTGGCATCCTGAATTTATAATTCATCAGAGATGATTATTTTTCCATAGGAACAAAGTAGCCAAGGCATTGTCCTGAATATTTTAGATGACTCTTAGTAAATGAATCAATATAAAATTTGTGGTCCCTTTAATTTTGTTTTACTTTTTCATTTTTTCCTAATGGATATTGTGATTTAACTAATTTTGTAGTTGTCTTCTCATTCCCTTAGAAAACACCTCTGTCCTCCAGATGCCGAAAGAAAACCAATGGAAAACAGCCAAGACCCAAGTTTGGAGCATCTGAAGAGAAGGTTGGGATAAAGAAAAATGAGAAGACCATGAAGACCTCCCAGGAGACAGAGCTGCAGAACACAGATGATGGAGTCAAGAAGTCTACATCTAGAAGCAAAGTCAGTGGGAAAATGTGCTTGAGGTCTGGAGGACAGAATGAAATTCCCCAGCCTCATGCAGTAGAAGAGAAAACAAGTGAGACAGATTCAGAAATCTTGGTAAAGACTCAGAAAGAGAAAGGGGTCTCTGGAGATTCAGATGTCAGGTGTTTGAGATCCACAAAAACTGGAGCCACTTTGGAGAGTGAACCTAAGCCAAGAGTAACTCGGGGTGCCAAGAAAGATATTAAAGTTCCAAAGAAGGTAAGGCCCTTTTGTTTTACATTCTACAAGACCGGGATAATATTTATGCTCAGGTTACAAAGACAAATCACAACATACCAGTAGCTCCTAGAAAGCTAGTGGGAGAAGCCAACATCCAAACCACCTACTTTCTTTTGTGTTTTGGTAATTCCACTTTGAATAGTGAATTTACCTTATTGAAGGTTTCATTCCAGGAGAGCTATGCATTCATCTAATGTCACTTTCTGATGCTTATGATGCTACTTATCATGGTTATGGATGACGTCTTCAGCCTCTCTCGATCAGCAACACTTAACTAAAATAAAGATGGCCTGGACCTCAAAAGACTTCCTTTAAAACAGCTGAATAGGGGCTGTGAGTTGGCTTAACAGTTAAAAGCACTAATGGCTCTTTCAGAGGAGCCAGATATGAGTCTCAGGACTCACGTGGCTCAGAACCATTTGTAATTCTAGATCCAGGGGATCTGATGTTCTCTTCTGCTCTCTTTTAACATCAAGCAAGTGCATGGGGCACATATATACATGAAGGCAGAACACATATAAAATAAGTAAGTTTGATTTAGTAAATAAATAAATAGGCAGAATAAACCCAAGATTGGTTGTCTCCTAGGCAAATAGAAGTAGGTGAATTTTACTCGGTAGGAAGTGTGTCATTTCACCACACAGAATCTAAGCTAATGGACTGTACTAATGTATTGTCAGTGATATGCATTGTCTCCAATGGCATGTTTACAATAAGTAGTATTCTAGGAAAATTTAAAGATAGGATGAGCAGTTACCTTTGTGGGGGTGATATGTAATTGCTCTCAATACTAAATTTGAGCCTGAACATAGTGTATTTTGAGACAACTGATGTGATAAAAGTAGCAACAATCACTGAGGCAGAGTTGTGGCCAAGTTGGCCAGTTCTGACCACTTTTAGAATAAACCAAGCAGAAGAACTAACAACACAAGAAGACCAGGGTTTCCAGATGCCACAACACATCCTGCATAGCTGGCGGGAGAGAATAAGAAGGCACAAGAGTCTAATGAGAATGTGAAGATAGAATGCTCTAGAGCAGTGGTTCTCAACCTCCCTAATGTTGCCATCCTTTAATATAGTTCCTTTAAAGCAGTTCCTCACATTGTTGTGACCCCTCAACCGTATTTTGTTGCTACTTCATGTCTAATTTTGCTGCTGTTATGATTCATAATATAAATATCTGGTATGTAGGATATCTGGTATGCCACCCCTATGAATCAAATCTACAGAAAGCAAAAGCTTTTCCTGTCTTGTGTTGGGTGGGCCCTATGTTTAACAGTACCAGGACTTCTGGTCATTTGCTCTGAGAGGCTATTGTCATCTTTTGCTTTCTGTAGATTTGATTCCCATCAGGTAGGTCTCCCCACTGCCTTAGAAGACTCACTATGCTCTTACAGCCACATAGGAGAACTCAGGACACAGTGACCATCCTCTGCCTGTGGGAAGTTATCTTTAAGACACTTTAGTTTTCATCTAAGACACCTTCAGATTCAGTTTTTCTGAATGATGCTTTCTAACTAGCAAACCGTAATGTATATTAGAACTTGTAAAAGATCAGAGTCTAAGTTTAAAAAGCTAAGTAAGAAAATGTTTCGGGGGAGACAACTTTAAGGTAAGCACTGCAAAACTAATTTCCAACTTTAAAATTAACTTTTTAAGTTTTTGTTTGTATGTATGTGTAACACGTGCCTGCCTAGAATGGTCAGCCAGAAGAGTGCATCTAATCCCTTAGATGGTTGTGAGCCACCATGTGGGTACTGGGTATTGAACTCAGGTCCTCTTCAAGAGCAGAAAGAGCCTGTAGCCACTTAGCCATTTCTCCATCCCCTCAAAGTTAATTTTTAGGCTGGACGTCTAAATGACACCTAGTAACGATTGGGAGTTTGTAGAGTTAAGCTGGTTACGAAAATCATTCCTTCACATTATTTAGGAGTTGTGTTTTTCTTCCCAAACAGGATGAAGACATTGTATACACCACAAAATTAAGGACAAGAAGTCGCCAGAATAGTAAAAATATGTAGCAAAGACATTTAAAAAGGAAATATTAAGTTAGCTTAGTGATAAATCCCAGTGTGATTTTTACCTCTTGTGTAAACTGTAAATAATACTGCCTATGTTTAAGGAAGGAAGCTTTGAGCTTTTGTGTTTATTCTCTCTTCAAACTCCAATGGAGATCATGAAGAGGGTCACCAGGGATCTCAGAGCAATAACAATTTAAAAGTGAGCAGACAGAAGTGTGGCCCTCTGTCCTGCACAATAAAGTTCTGAAGTTCACTGCCTCCTGTGGTCTCTCTCTGCAACTGTAGCATCACATCATCTGCCTGTGTCCTCTGTCAATGAATGGCAAAGGCAGGGGGAACAATCCTGTGTCCCTCCACTGATCGGGTTCTCAGTAGACATTAGTTGTGTGATTAGATCCATGTAGCTTACACAGGATGACTGTACAATGGAACATTTGGTTTGTAGACCTATCAGAGGTCATTTGTATGAGTCACCTGATCCTTTGAGTCTTTGACCTTTAATAGAAACAGCTATGACAACAAGAATGTCTGGGGAGCCCACCTTCAGAGGCACAGGTTCTGTTAGAGAGTTATTGGTGCCTGTGCTTTTCTTGTTTTTAAATTTTTTTAATTTACTTTTATGTCATTTGCATTGTTATTTTGCCGGCATGTATGTCTGTGTGAGGGTATCAGATCTTGGAGTTAGAGACCATTGTTAGCTGCCAAGGGGGTGCTGGAAGAGCGGTCAGTGCTCTTAACCGCTGGACCATCTCCAGCCTATCCATGCTTTTCATTAGGCATCTATACTGAACAAGTTGGTTGCCTTGCCTATGGAACTGTTACTGTTGAATAGTATGCTACTCTAGTCTCCTATCCTAGCTTCTGTTTTTATCATGTGCTTTTTCTAACCTCTTGCCTGGCAGCATGAGGCTTTTACCCACAGCCATTCTGGCACTTGGTATGAAATGAGTATCTCCCAAGTCTCACTTTAACCCTAGACTCCATTTCAGACCATAGATGCGTATCCAACTTTTGTACTTTCCGCCCTGCCCCTAGTTCCCTTTCTGTGACTGCTAGCAGTAGCACATCATTGTTTCAGGTATTTCTGCCCAGTGCTGTCCTTTGGGTCTCCCATGCCAGGTGGGGTGATGGTGCTCACTTCTTTATCCTTGTGTCTGACATGCACCTGAGTAACAGTTGTGAGGTTGTGAGATACGAAGTAAAGGCAGGGATTTAGCAATTTGGGTGAGTCTGGGAGTTACTTACGCCATTTCATCTACCACAGGATGTCTGTAATCATAAGGAATGGCAACAAGTTATTCCTAATGGGACAACTGAGGCTTTACAGGACAGGTAATAAGTTGAGCTGGCAAAGGGGATTGTGCAGAACAGAGGGCAGGGGAAGAAAGAGCCCATTTTACATTGTTAGATGCTATAAGGCCTGAAAGTGCCCTTAATTGACTTGAATCTTAAAGTCAAAGATGTTTAAGTAACAGGAACATTAACTATGACTTGTTTTGATGTGTTATTAGAAATATTATATGTATGTGGGAAATTTCAGTCAACTGCATGCTAGCTGAACAGAACACAGTGATGAATGAAAAACCTGTTCAGTTGTAGGAAATCCTGCCTGAGCTATGTCAGCACATTTTCTCACTGAGGTAACTAGTATTTCAAGAGCGTAAAGGGTTGTCCTTAGGGCTACAGGTCCTGGATTAGAAAAGGTAATTCAGGATGTGGGAGCTGCCTTAGTAAAGCACTGGATGTGCAGGCAATAAGACTAGAACAGATTAGCAGGACCTGTGTAAGAGCTGGGCATGGTGACATAGGTTTGTAACCCCATCACTGGGATGTGGGGTCAGGTGGATCCCTGGGGCTTGCCAGCTAGCCATCCTAACCAAAGTGGATCCAGCAAAACCTTACCTTTTGAAACAAGAAAGATCCCAAATGAACCTCAGGCCTCCACACCTGACTGCATGCATAGGTGGATGAGTATGCACGTGTACACACACGCACACACAAACTCACATGTGTGACCACCATGTAATAAACTTAAAAAGCTCATTCCCGGGTGATACCAGTGCTCAAGACACATTTACAGAATACATTCTCCATTTATCCTTGCTGGCAGCATCTAAGAAATATCCATTTTCTTGGCTAATTGTGTAGTTGAGAACAAATACACATTCCTCAAGTGTTCAGCTACACTCTAGAAATGTCAGTTTCCCAGAAGAAACCATGATGGGAGATTCCCAAGAAGGGTACACTGCTTGTTTGCCTCTTGGAGCCTATATCACTCTTCCTGTCTTTGCTGTCATTTGCTCCTGCCTTTCCCATAACCAACTGCTGCTTGCACTGCCTAGGATGTGGTGCACCCCTGCACTTAGTCACTACTATTCCTTGGAATGCTGAGCTTAGCACCAGAGAAATTTCCAGGCCTCTGCACTCTAGCCATTATCCAAGGTTGGGGCAGGTCCTTGGTTGGCAGCAAAAGCCTAGTGAGAATCAGCCTCTCAAATGCAATTTTCAGCCCCTTGACTAAAACTGATTTAGTTTAATAGTGTGTAATCTTGGCTTGTGGATCATTGAAGTGTGACTTAGGGCAAGCCTTTCTCACTTTGGCAGGCAGTTTTCTGGTCTATAGAATGATGTTCTCAAGCGCCCCAGTTCAGGACAGTCAGGAGGATTAACTGAATAAAAGACTACTTGTAGCTCCTGTAGCCTTTGGCTAGCACTTGGAGTCAAGCTAATTAAGATCATTTTCAGAGGACCTATACCTCTAAGCTTTGTGCTGGGGTTTCCCTCTGGAGAAGTAGGAAGATTTGGAACACTGAAGTCTCAGCACTAGGTTCCACACAATGTCCCAGACAGGAAAAGCCTAATCCAGGATAAATAGAAGTCCCCCCTCAGTGATTCTGATCTCTTAATCACAGCCAATTCCTTGGCCCCAGCCAGCTAGCATCAGTTGTCCCAGTAAGGGTTTCATTGCTGTGGTGCTGGACTGTTGTCAATTAGCTTATTCTGAAGTCCCAGCTGACCAGAGCTCACATAGTTTTAATTCAAAATATCCAAATAGCCCTGGTAGCTTTTGCTTCCCTCTGAAACTTGGAAAACCCAGTTTTCCTTTGAGCATTGTTGTCCAAGTTCCCACAGAACAGCTCACTGAGCTCTGACCACTCAATGGTTTTTTTTTCAGCCCCAAATTCTAAATGCTTCCACAATCCTCCCCTAATCAACATGGTTGGGTCTGTCACATCCAATATGTTCCAGCAGCCAATTGCTGCATTAGCTACTTTTCTATTACTGTGTATCTGTACCTGTAATGTCTTGTGTACTCAAATGCACCTGCATACACATACACACACACACACTTAAAAATAAGACTAAATTGTCTTTGTATGCTAAATGCACATCTTTGGTGCTGGGGCCTCACACATGCTAAGTAAGTGCTTGGCCACAGAGCTGCACTCCCAGCCCCCAGTGCATGCCTTGTCTAAAAAGACTTAGACTTCAGGCTGGAGAACGAAGTTGAGAAATAAGAAGACAGCAGCACAGGTACAGCTTAGTTTTCAGAGGTTTATTCTTGCATCAGGATGTTCTTGATCTTGCGGTTTCCATGTCCCAAAATTCAGTGACATTCACTGGTGTTATAGGCAAGATCAAATGGTAAATGTAATCAAAGAAAATATGAGAGTTGGAACCATGATGCATACACATATGAAGATTGCACATAAATTAAACATGGCTTGGTTACAAACAAATATATATCAGTAAATATACATGAAAAAACCCAACAACATGGCCATGTCTCCAAATTCTGAAACACAGGTATCAGGCTCATTTTTAAAAAGTTTTAAAAACACATAAAAAATACCTTGGAAAACACAGGTGTGCATTCCTCGTTCATCTAGCACATGGAAAGAATAAAGCAAGTCACACAGTGACCAAGGAACACACCTGATCAGAACACTCAGCTCTGATTGCTATTTGGCATTTGAACACAGCTGCATGCAACACAGAAATGAGAAGAATGTTGTAGGTGCCAGGCTGTTCACTGGTGTATACTGGACCTTTGAAGGAAGGAGAGAAGGACATGCCAGGTAACTCAGATGCTGAGGCACCACGTAGGATGCCTCTTGCATACTGAGTCTCTGTCTTAGGGAAGCTGAATTTGGCTGTGGCATTAGCCAAGAGACTGGAGGGGTCGGCCCCTTCAAAGAAAGACAACTACTACCCCAAATGTGTCCACAGGAGGGTAGCTTCTATTTCTGGAATGAGACAAGCTTTTTAGAAACAAGTGGGGCTCCTACAGGGGAGCCTGGGGCAGCCCCGAGATGAAGAAAAAACACAAATAGAATATTTTTTCTAGACATCCTGAAAAGGTCTACCCGAAAGGCATTTCTTGATACAAGAGATGCCTGGGATTCTAAGCAACTAAGTTGGGGTGCCAAGGTGCATGGCTGAACTTTGGCATGGGACCAGTGTGAGGTCACCTTCATTCTAGTGGGCTTGGGGTACGGAGTGGAAGCCCTTTGTCATGCTTAAATCAAAGAAAGGCATTGGGCTTGAGGTTTAATATGAGACAAATGAAATCACTGGCTAAGGAAAGTTCATTCTTTCATCTTCTGCCTGTGTTCCACTACTGCATAGAGAAGGGGAGGTCCTGCTCAGTGAAGAACCAACCCTGGGTGCAGCCGGTGATGATGACAGAAACCCCTCTCTGCTTTTTCGTGCCTCTGGATTGAACTCAGAGCTCTGGGATGTGAGAGAAGCTTTGTGACTTGTTCACCTGTAGGAGGCAGTGACTGACCCTGGGGTTGTCCCCTTACACACTATAAACAAACAAGGACAAACAGTGCAAATAGGCAGACATGATCAGTCCTCCATGGAGATGGCAAATAAGGCCTTTATATTTGTATATCTCTTAAAAAATACCCAGACTGCATACGTTCAAAGCCTTCGATGAGTTAGACCAGATGTCTTTTTTTTTTTTTAACATTGTGCTCATTTGCTAGGTACCTAAATGCTGTAGGAAGATCATATTGAAATCAATGTTTTTACATTCACCCTGCCCCCACCCCCCATCCTTCCCTAACCTACTCTCTGGCAGTGTAACCATCACTGCCACCTGGGTTCAGAGGCCTCAGCAGTATTTTCACCCAAAGGTAAGTTAGAATTCAATTCTCTCTCTCTCTCTCTCTCTCTCTCTCTCTCTCTCTCTCTCTCTCTCTCTCTCTCTCTCTCTCTCTCTCTCTCCCTCTCCCTCTCCCTCTCCCTCTCTCATTTTTTAAAAATTAAACACCAAGGAGCAGGATGTTTAAAAAACTGTACAAATCTAGATTTTAAGATTTCTTATAAACCATCCTAACTTTTTACAAAGAAAATCTTGACATAACAAATGCCTGACAGGAGGTTTACAGTGCAATTGCTTGTGGTCATCCTACTGTATCTATCTGTGTGCTCACGTGTGTGTGTGTGTGTGTGTGTGTGTGTGTGTGTGGTGTGTGTGTGTGTAAGACACTTCATTTCAATGAGGAAGGAAAGGAAGTAGTTTTGAACAGAGACTGTAGACTCAGTTAAGGTCAGTACAGGCATCTGGGTCAGTAGGAGGGACATTGGAAATGAGCTTGGCTGGGTTCTGAGCCAAGCACACAGTCAGATGGACAGCAAGTCGTTCCCCAGGAACATAGCTCTGATGGCTAGTGTGAGGCTACTGGAAGTCTGTAAGAATAGATGACCTGGGACCAGCATCTCTTCTCATCAAGTCTATAGTGGTAAAGACACAGCCTTTCATAAGTAAATGCCTTTAAAAAATTCACTGGAAAGTCACCATCTACCCTTGTGGATCTGAGACCTAGATTCAGGTTGCAAGATCTGAATATATACATATATATATATATGTATATATATATATGTATATGTAAATGAGACAGTCTTACTGTAGCCCAAGCAGGCCTGGACCTGAAGGCAATCCTCATGTGCTAGAAACACAGGTATGCACTGCCATGCCTGGCTCTTTCTTTGCTCTTTTAATTGTAAAGATGAACCACATGGCTGAGACCTAGGACTTTACAGAAGCCCCCACATGTACTGTTTGCCACACCCTGATGCCCTGGATGGTTGCCACAGTTGGTAGGGAGAATAAATGTTTCCCAATTCTGAGTCCTCAACTGTTTTCTTCTCCACAAGGGGCTTCATGTTTAGTGTCTTTCACAAACACATTTGACATATTAAAAACTACAATTACAGATACATGACATGTGACATCACATAATGTGAATCTACAGAATTAAGATATTGACTGATATTAGAGAAATATATATCTTTCCAGATAGTATTGGACCTTAACACATTATTCCAAGTTTTAAAAAGGGCATTTAAGACTTAATACCCTTATAGCAGGTAACCTTTAGAAGATAATAATATATACAAAGGAATTAGGAAGGATATTAATGTCCACTAGGAAATAAATTAACATTTTTTACAAAATATACTGACCATTAAATTAAAAACTATTTTAAGGCAGGAATCTTCATTTGAAATTAGCATAATCAGAAAATATATCGATAAAATCTTGTACCACTTTGTAGCAGAATTCATATTGCTCCTGAAAAGAGAACAAGAGTATATTGATAAGCTGCTTCACACATCCTTGATGCATTTAATCAGAAGATGTCAGTCAGTCTGTTGATACACCAAAGTCTGTGGTTCCTACCCACACATCAGCTTCTGTTATGTGACATAGCTTTTAAGCACAAGACATGTTCTAAACCAAGCTGTTTTTCTATGTGGAAAGCATGAATTTTCAGTTTCCTTCTGTATTTTCAGAGTGATCTTAGGAAAACATCTCTACTTTTCATATTGACATTGGAAAATATTTTGTGTATATGTGTGGACATCTCTGTGTGTATTTGTGTGTGTGCGCAGGCACACATGTGTTTGCTCGCATGTGGAGACCAGAAGTTAACTCAGGTGTCCTTCCTCAGGTACTGTCCACATGGGTTTTGAGACAGGGTCTCTCACTGCCAAGTAGGTTAGGCTGGCTGCCTGTGAACCCCAAGACCTCTACCTCCCAGCTGTGGGATTACAAGTATATGCCACCATGCCCATCTTTTTTTTTTTTTTTTTAATTTACTGTGGGTTTTGGGGAATGAAACTCAGGTCCTTATGTTTTCAAGACAATTGCTTTATCCTATCCCCCAAGGCCAGGAAACAAGTGTGTGTGTGTGTGTGTGTGTGTGTGTGTGTGTGTGTGTGTTTAATACATGTTTGTTGTTTTGAGACAGAGTGTCATGTTGCTCAGTCTAGCCTGAACTCACACTGTAGTTGAGAATGACCCCAAACTCTTAATCTTCCTACCCAAGTGTTGGGATTATAGGTATATGCCACCATAGCTGGATGAAAACTATTTCTGAGGTGGGAAAAAAAAACAGTTTAAGCATTGAAAAATAAAGTTCACAGTGCCTAATTTATAACTGGTAAGTAAATGAAAATCACATGGTTTTATATCACTATACATTTCCTTCAAAATTTCAAGACTAGATGTCTTAGGTTCACGTGGGGCCTTTCTGTTATCACCACCACAGCATCTATCTTTGCACAAGGGCCAAGCTGTCAAGAGTGGTCAGCATGGAGAATGAGTGGGTGGGAGAGAAGGCCTAATGGGGAGGCTCTGGGAAGCGAAGAGAACAGCCTTTAACCCTGCACTTGCTCCTTCAGCAGAAAGCATGTCTGAATTTAGTGCAGAGTCTCCCTCTACCCAGGAAGTGTGCACCTGGTAATGAAAGAGAATATGCAGAGCAATTGGATGTTAGGAGGCCCAGTCCTCCCACCCCACCCCCACCCCCGGGGCAAGACCCTCAGATGGGCCTTGAAGTTGAGTGAGACCTTCCAAAGGCAAACAGACTAAATGTAACAGTGGAACCAGGAAAATAAGCAGCGGTGCTTTGAACTTCAGGGCTGCTTTTGAACTCTGTAACAAAATAAAATCTGTGCATGAGCTCCTCCTCTTGAGTCTTACTGGGAAAACCTTCCCCTAAGACCGATGGTGGGGTGGTTTACTGTGAAAGGCTGCAGTTGGGTCAGACACTCTGGGAAATGAACCCTTCTGCCCCTCCCTTACAGCGGGCTTCCCTTTAATGAAACCGACATCAAATACATGAAACAATTCTCGACTCTTCTGGAACATCAGATCATTCAGATTCTTACCAGGGTTTGCACCATGTGTGGTCTCTGAAGTCTTAAGCTCTTCACAGCTTGAAACACATCTAGGAGTCCCTCAGCTTTCACTCGTTCCAAAATGTTGCTGAGTGCTATGAATGTACCTGTCCGCCCTGCTCCCGCACTGTGGAGCGAACGAGCATAGTGAAGGCAAAGCAAAAGAGTAAGCGTGGGGAAGAGACATGGGTATTTACCACCACCCCACCCCACCCCTAGGTTTAGAGCAGAGCATCAGTCGCCGAAAGGCACCCACATCTGACTGCATCTTTGTGTTTGATACTGTGTGTGTGTTTGTGCGTGCATGCGTGTGCGTGTGCGTGTGTGTGTGTGTGTGTGCGCGCGCGTGCGCGCGCAGAGGTCAGAGATGTATGCTTGTTGTCTTACTCTACAGTTTTCCACCTTCTTTTTAGACAAGTTCTTTCAATGAACCTAGAGCTCACTGGCTTGGCTTGGCTGGCTGGTCACATTGACTTGTCTGGGCCTCACTAGCACTGAAGATGACAGATGTGCACCACTTTACAAGACTTTTTATGTGACTAAAGGATCGTGCAGCAAAACACTAATTGACTGAGCCATCTTCCAAGCCCCTTGACTGCAGCTTAAAGAATAGCTTATATACATAAGACAGCAAGATCCAGCAAACAGTGCCCCGCTTGCTTCCCTAAGCATAGTAGTCAGGCAGCACCTAAAATGGATGAGGACAACTTGGAGGCTTTTAAGTGGTGCTTACAAAAAGTATGGTCTGCCGACTGTCAGATCAGCATTGCCTAGGATGAAGTAGAAATGCAAACTTTTTCTTTTAGGTACAAGGCCTGGACTCTGGAACACTGACACCTAAAGGTGATGTTTCAGGGATGCCATGATAGGAAGCTCTCTGCTAGGAATCGTGGGCTCCCCAGAAGATGGCACTTGGCCTAATGAGCCAGGCCTCTCAGAAAAGGTCTAGGAGAGGCTAAAGGAAGCACCAGGTCAACCTTTTCTAGTATCTTCTGGAGGGGCATGGCTGCCCTGGGTCTCTTGGAATCTCCACAAGTGTGGGCCTGCTCTGACGTTCAAGACCAGCTGCTGTGGTCCACATGGCTGCCATCTGCTGTCCTGGGCTTGCAGAACTTATCTCCAGCATTGCAGAGCAAAGGGACTCATTTCTAGCTCCTTCTCAGGGAGCTTCTGGAAAGGATCCTGGGACTGAAAACTGAGGCATGAGGGCCACTGGCTGGCCAGGCATGGAGCACACTAGGTGGGTTATCCACACAGGGAGAGTGGCCATCTCTCTCATTAAACAGGGGCTCTTTGGACATCAAGGGTAATGAATGGAAATAAAGCGTGTCCTAAAGCATGAGTCAAATCTCCAGGGAATGAAACAATCACAGCTCCAACAGCTATTGAGAATCACCCCCAAAATAAAAGCTTCCTAAACTGCTTCTTGCCAGGGCTTTGCAGGTGTGGCCAAGATCACTGCAGTAGGTGGCACAGTGCTGGCAGGACCTGCCCAACCAGGGACACAGGGACACGGGGGAGCTATGGATCTGTCATACATTCACTCTTTCCCCATTTGTTGTGTGCCATGGGCCTGGGCAGTTGCTGTCTCTAGGGACATCAGGAGCTTGACTACGGCTATGTGAGTGTTGGAACCTTAGAGATTCAACACTGGCGGCTGGGAGATGATTCAGTCAGAAAAGTACTTGTGCAAGCGTGAGACCTTGAGTTCAACACCCAGATACTACAGAAAAAAAAAACTGAGCATGTCCTGGGGCTCCCAGGCTAACCAACAGAGCTTAATAAGCAAATACAAACCCAAGTGAAGGTAGTTCACACCTGAGAAGGGGCGCCTGGGCTTGACCTCTGACCTTCATGGGTTACATTTATGTAACCTCGTGATCATACACACACAGATACCAAGGTGGACCTGCTCATGGTGTCATAATATTCCATCCTGTGCTTTCAGTCATCTGCATTGAATGTTTTCCAAGGCAGGAGAGAAGGTGGACAATAGGGATGGGGCAGCCAGAGCCAGAGCTGTGTGTCAGAGTTAACACAGGTTAGCTGAAGTCCAGAAGGGTACCTGAGGGCTTTTCCTGGGAAGTTTGTGTGACTTCAACAGGAAATAGTACCCTGTAACCATTCTGACTCCTCCCAGGATGTGTGTTGTGCCTGTGTAACGAAGTGGCCTTTGTGCACATCTGTGAAGTTATGTGTGTGTGTGTGAGAGAGAGAGAGAGAGAGAGAGAGAGAGAGAGAGAGAGAGAGAGAGAGAGAGAGAGAGAGAGAGAGAGAGAGGGTGACTCAGACTAGGGAAGCAATCCCCTGAAAGCAGCTATCCAGCTCCCCCTAGTTGCAGAGTAGGTCTCTAGAAACTTATGGACCGTTTTTGTTGCCCAGCCAGGACAGGGCACCCATGGGGGAGGGGCAGTTCACCTGCAGTGCACGGTGATGGGGTGGTTGCCTGTCTGCTGCTGCTGCTTCTGTACTGCTGCAATGAGGTCGATCATGCCTTTGCCCTCAGCTGGGATTCCAACCTCGGGCCAGCCATGGAAATGGAATTGTCTCACCAAGCGGATCTGCTCTTCTTGGCGGGCCAGGGGCTACAGATAGGAGAGACGTCTCAGTGAAAGCTGTCCCACATCCTGCCAGGGATCTGCCTGCCTGTCCATGAGTCCTCCTGGGTCTCAAAGCCCCACCCATGCAGTCCAGGGGCCTGTCTAGCAGTGACTATGTTTCCTTCTAGATCCCCACCAGACTCAGCCCAGCCCTTTCAGGGTCCTTGGTGGCTTCATTCAAAGATTAGGCTCACAATTCTTGGGAAGTTAGGCTCTGAGTTCCCATCAAGGGCTGGAGGCAAGCCCAGTGGTTCAGGCAGTCCACCACTGGCCCCTAGGGAACAAGTATTTGCACCAGTCCAGCTTTCCTGATTGTCTCAGTTCAGAATTGAGTACAGCTTGTGAACTCTTCTACCAGACAGCCTAGACTTTGTGTGATCAGGGTTTAAGTTCCAGTGTGGACAGGGACACTGAGAGGTTCTGGAGGGGGCCTGGGAGGCCTCTCTACCTTCCTTCGGGTCCTTTGTTATTCCATCCCCAGCTAAAGTCTTCGTCATCATACATCCTCCAACAGGAGGCAAGCTGCCATAGAAGGCACAATTTCATAGAACACCTACTACTGGATGCTCTCCTGCCCCCTTGTGGTTCCCTGAGACTTAGAAACAGGTAGGTGGTGACAGGCACCAGGCCCACCCTGATACAGCAGTAAACATATACCAAGAGATGGGGCTTTCTAAGGTCCACTAGAATTTGGGGAATCACAGCCATAATACCTGTTTAAAAGTAACCAGGAAGTCTCGTATGCTGATGGCTTCAGACAGGGTGTCACTCTTTATTTCTATAGTTATATCTCCATGAGTCACCGAGCCCTCTGTTGGCCAATATTGGTAGCATTTATCCTAGGGGGACAAAATGTTTTGTTATTACTACTTAAGGTGCAGAATTGATGTTGGGTCATTTCATGTGACTAGAAAATCTTATGTGGATCGGAATTTCATTAGTGTCTGTTGCCCATGAGCAGAGAACAGGTATGGAAAGACACTGACATATGGAACTTTGATATGGGAGAGAACAGAAGATTTATTCAGTGGGTGGAATGTTGCGAATTACTTGTTTACACTGTGTGAAGATGTGTCACTTTGATTGGTTTAATAAGGAGCTGAATGGTCAATAGCCAGGCAGGTGAGAATAGGCGGGACTTCCGTGCAGAAAGAGGAACTCCGGATGAACCTAGGTACGTGAGGGACACTATCGAGACACTGAATTAGTTGAACATACAGTACAGAGAAGAGGTAACTGAGCTACCTGACAGAATGTAGATTAATAGAAACAGGTTAATTTAAGTTGTAAGAGCTAGTTATGAAAAAGCATAAGCTAAGGCCAAGCTTTCATACTTAATAAATAATAGGTCTCTGTGTCGTTACTGGGGAGCTGGCAGTCCCAAAGAAAGTCTGACTACAGTGAAACTGGAAAAAGATGAAATCTCTGACTCACTGTGCAATGTTGACATGAACATCGCAGCCTCTCCTAGAATCAGGTCAGTAAACAAACAACACTGTCCTATATTTTGATCTTGGCCCTGGATATTCTTTTACTTTGAAGAACACTAAGGCAAAGACAGAAATATCAGCTTCCAAAGAAGGTCACATTTTTTTTCCATCAACAACTTCATCAACAACCATCATCTAAAGAGTAAAGAGGAGGCTGCTGACTGCCGCAAGATGCTCGCCACATGAAACCAGCACAGGATGAATATCTGCCATATGTAAAGAACTCTTAAAGCAGGAAGAAGGGAAACAGTCCAGAAAGACAGGTGCTCTGATGCCTGATGGTCAATCTTGATTGACACCTTGATGAGGTTTAGAATCACCTTGGAGACACACCTAGCCTTTTGGGAGGTGTTTCCAGAGAGATTCAACTGACAGAGGAAAACACACTTGGACAGCAGGTGGTGTCACTCGGTGGACTGGAATCCTGGAATGAATGAACAGGGGGAAGTGAGTGGCTCACATGTGCCCATCTGTCTGCTTCCTGACTACAGATGCATGAGACCAGATGCTTTGTACTCCAGTTGCCATGATAGATTTTCTTTCAATTCATGAGCCAGAATAAATCCTTCCTTCCTTCAGCTGTTTTTTTTCCAGCAGTGAGAAAAATAGTAATAGAGGTTAAATGGAAAGCATTTGATACAAGAAAGAAGACATGCATAGAAATGTAAGGTGATGTTCTACCTTGTAGGAATGAGATAAATGCCAATAAAAGCCACAGAAAGCTAAATTAACATTCAGTTAGCAAGGATCAGGGTGCCGGAGAACTCCAGGCACTCTCAGAACACTAGGCATGCCAATGAATATGTCTTATTCATCACTGATACTCACTTGAAAAACCACTTTGGACAGCAACTGGGAATTCTCACTCTTGGACAATTTGCAATCTGACATTTTGTTTACCTGGCACCTGCTAACCACTGGCAGCAAGAAGCATGTCATCACTGTTCATCAAGCAGCAGGATGGAGCTGGGTCCACTGTCAGGGATGCAAGAAGGGCTAAAGAAGTGGATGCAGGACGTGTGATCTTTGTAGCAGATACAAGGAAATAGTCACAGTCACAGACACAAGCACAGAAGAACAGCCAAGTCACTATTCTATCTAGAAAAATCTCAGATTACACATAATGGAATTCTTTATAGAAAGTTGCAACAGAAGTAGGCTAAAGAGAAATTCTCTAATCCTCATGCTGCCTCTTTCCAAGCACTGGGGTTACACCTATTGCTACCATGTCCAGCTGGTTTAATGCCTGCCTAACAAAACAAATAATGTATCTACTAGGATAGCTTTAATCAAAAGGACAAAACACCAGTGTTGTGTGGACACACAGAGCCGTTGAACACTGAGACTAGGAATGTAAATGGGGATGGGGCAGAGGCTAAGAGCAGGCACTGTTTTTTTTTTCAGAGGACCAGAAGGTTCTCAACACCCTTTTCAGGCAACTCACCTTTGCCTCTAACTCCAGCTCCAGCGGATCTGAGCCCCTCTTCTGGCTTTTGTGTGCACCTACATTCATACGTACGCCCCCTCCCAGCAATTAAAAAAAACCCTGAATATTGAACGATCGAAGTTGATGATACGGAGTTACATTATGAGGAAGTGATTTCACTCATAGGTATGTAGGTGAGAAACATGAAAATTATTCCTGCACAAGCACTGGAACACAAACACCCACAGCAGCAGTGTGCCAACAGCCCCCAAGTGAAAACAGCACGAGTATCCATCAACCGGTGAACGGGGCAATGCAAGTTGTACACCATTCACATGACACAATACTATCCATAAAGACGAAGTCTGTGCTGAGTCCTCAGCCTTACATGGGACATCTGTATCAACCCTGCCCCCATCCGGGCTCCACCAGGCTCAGGGAAGGAACACCACAGAAGTGGGGACAGAAAGAATCTTAAAAGCCAGAAGTGGGGAGGAGAGCATGAAATGCTGTCCCTAGACCCGGCATGGTCATTCCTTTTGTGAACTCACTGCAGCTATAGTTACTGGCTCGAGACCCATCCAAGAGCAAGCAAACAAAAGCAGTTCACATTCCAACAGGCAAGGGGACTCAGTGGGTTAACAAGAAAAAGGAAAGGAGAGGAGAGGGGCTGTGCTGGGGGTGCCTGCGGGAAGAGGGAAGGGGAATTGGGGAGATATGATCAAAATACATTGTTTATGTGTGTTAAATGCTTAAAGAAAAGGATGAAGTCCAGATTTATGCTACACGTGGATGAGCCTTGATGACGTGATGGCGTATGAGGACCCACTCCTGAAGGAGCACACACCGTGTGACTGCATTTATAGCAGGGTCCCGAAGAGCCAGGTGGGAGAGTCAGGGAACTGGCCAGTGGTTGTCTGGGGCTGGGCGAGGGGGATGGAGGTGACTCTTCATGGAACCCTTTCTTTTTCAGGTGGTGACCATGCTTTGGAGTTAGACAGAAGATATGTTTACCCAACATATGAACATATTAAACCCTAACCGAGCTGTTCCCTTAAAAAATGGATTGCTTTCTGGGTGAAGCATAGCTCAATAATGTTGCTGTTGTTTTGTTATTTACATTTTTAAAGAGTTATTTATGTTATGTATATGGTACTCTATTTGTATATACACATGTATGCCAGAAGAGGGCATCAGATCCCATTATAAAAGGCTGTGAGCCTCCGTGTGATGACTGGGAATTGAATTCAGGACATCTGGAAGAGCTGCCAATGCTCTTAACCAATGAGCCATCTCTCCAACCCATGTTTTGTTTTTTAAAGCAAAGAAATCAAAATATAGATTCAGGGCCGTCTTAGGGTAGCACTTAGAGAGAAGCTTGGTACTAGTAAAGCATATTTTTCTGGGTTTGTGACATTATCAGGCCACAGGTGGATCTCTGGGAAAACGGAAATGCCGAAGTCATCTAACTTCATTAGGACTACAACCAGGGGCACAGATCAATGTCTGCCTTTATGTCTGCAAACAGTTAGTAAATGCCATTTCCACTCACTGCCTGTGACCTTGACATTAAAAAAATGGTGGAACATCAAGGCAAGTGTAAAGATATGTAAGGCCAAGGCTATTAACAGCTAACCACCCTTCCATCCATCAAAAGCAAAGATGAAGGAAGATCTCAATCATCCCCCCTCCCTCCATCTCTCCCTCCTTCCCTCCCTCCCTCCCTTCCTCCCTGCCTCCCTCCCTCCCTCCCGAATCCTCCTGGCTTGCTCTCACCCATGTGTTCATAGAGTGCACACTGCTGAGGCATCATACCATCACAGAGGCTACTCACCTGCTCCCGTTCCTGCACCTCAGTCAGCATGACAATTGTGTGTGATTTCCACTCCCACACCATCCTCCAGAAGTCCTCAACAGTGTGAGCCAGAGGCCCCTGTGTGGCCATGAAGTAGTCCTTCTGCCTGTAGCCCTTGAGGGAAGCAGAGGTTAGGGGTGAGCTACCACTTCCACAGGTCCTGAGGGCAGCGCTAGGCTGAGGTCGGCAACTCCAACATTCCATGGCCTGAACAGAAGCCCACTGATGCACCCCTGAAGGAGGAGCTGCCCCTTCACCAGGGTGCCGTACACATTTTGCCTTCAGTAGCTGAGAGTATCTCTAAGGGCTATCAAAGGCCCCGGGTTACCAGGACAGTGCTTAGTGGCCTTGATTCTAATGGGCTGTGTGTCACAGCTAGATTCCCATCATGGTGACGCAGAGGGCCTGGGAGTGGAGCTAGAGTGTGGGCTCTCAGTTTCAGCACCCCCATCTGTAACCTCAAGTGTAGACAGAAGTGCTAATAGGCTGTTGGCTGCGAAGTTCTTTCTCGCCTCTTTCTCTTCCAATTCCACTGTGCATGGAGACCAGCCCCAACTTGTCCCTAGACAGATAATCACTCAGTCTATGTGGGCTCAAGTCACAGACATCCCTCGAGAGCCAACACACGCTCTGCACATAGAACTGGTATCACACACATGTGAATGCGGGAAGCCATCCATTAAACGTCATGTGGAGACAGCCAATTAGTCAGCAACGGGACGAGGCCCCAGTTCCAAAGCTCATTATTGGTTGATTTTTGTCTTTTAAAGATTCTTTGTCTTTTAATTTTATGTATATGAGTGTTTGCCTACATGTATGCATGTGTACCATGTACATGCCTGATGCCCGCATAGATCAAAAAAGCTTCAGCTCTCTTGAAACTGAAGTCCCAGTGGTTATGAGCCCCTATGTGGGTACGGTAAACTAAACTCAGGCCCTCTGCAAGAGCATCAAGTGTTCTTGGCTGATAAGTCACCTTTCCCTTGTTTTGAATTTTTGAAGCAGGATCTCATGTAGTACCAGCTGGTCTCAACATCCCTATGTAGCTGAGGCTAGCTTTGATATTCCTGTCTCTAATTCCCAAGTGTTGGGATTATATGTATGAACTAACACAATTGGCTCCTATTTGTTACTTTAAAAACGAGTAATTCTGCCGAGAAAATGGTGTGCCGATGCTTCTTATTGTGTGTAAAGCAATGCCCCTACTCCAGGCCACATGTTCCCACCAGGGGGAGTCACATGTTGCAACAAACACACACACACACGGCTACAATACATACGTCTATGAAGGATGCGTTGATATAGTCAGTGTATTCTTGCCCTCTTTTCATGGAGAGGATCACCCGGTTGAAGTCATCTGCAAAGAAGGATTTCCTGTTAGTGTAGATGCGACCCTGCCTTATAGACTATGATGGTCAAGGTTAATGTTCAGTTGACAAGGTCTAGACTCACAAGGAGACAGGCCTCTGGGCAAATGGTGTGGGTTACCTTGGTTACATTAATCAATGTGAAGCCCCATAACTGTGGGCAGTCATTCTCTGACCAGGGAATTCTAGACTGTGTGAAATGGAGAAAGCGGGCTGGGCAGCAGCATGCCCTCATTGCTCTTGGCTTCCTGACTGTGGAGGTCATGTGACCAGCTGCTTCAGGCCCCTGCTGCCTACACTTCCCCACCATGGTGGACTGCACCCTGGAACCATGAGCCGGAATCAACTCTGCTTCAATTGTTTTATCAGGGTATTTCATCAGGAAAAGAAACTGAGGCACAGGCCAAAACTTAAAAAAGCCAACTTTTAGGGAAGTTTTCATTATCAAATAGGCTCATAACATGGTTTGGGGAAGCTCTGAAAACAACTCAATTATCCCTTTCATCTTTCAAGAATCAGGGAAATATGTACCCCAATTAAAAATTACTGCATCTAGGAACAAAGGGAGGGTGACCAGATAGGAGCTGGGACTGCCAGGGGACATACTGAGGCCAGAGAGCCAAGGGATGGAAGCTGGGGGTGGATTGCCTAGCATCCGAGAACTCTGCTTCTGGAGAAGATACAACCATGATGACAAGGCCTATTTACCGCCGTTCGATGGTGGTGAGCAGTTGCTGACCCTTAGCTCCACGGAGGGCAGGAAGAAACATTGTGTGTGATATGTATTGGCTTCTCTTCAAGTCAGTGCTTCCCACGTGTCTCTCTAGTTGTGTTTGCCCAGATTTCTCTTCATCCCTCACCTGGTGATGTGGGTCCCAGCCTATAACGGGTCTTTGCCTCAGTCATCCCAATCCTCAAAGGCAGGCCAGAGTTAACTCTACCCCAGGTCAGTGCTGTGTAGTCCCCAAGGCAAGTTTTGTTTAGTTTTTCCTTGAAGGACTTAGATGAATTCACTTTTGGTCTGATTTAGTCCTTTGACATGCACATGTCCCTGGTCATGCTATTTACTCTCACCTGTGTGTGTATGGGGGGGGGAGGTACCTCCAGGCTCCAGAGCACTAGTCGGGCAATAGGTCATATTGAGGCAAGCTTCTTAGGTTCCAGTGAACCCTCCCTGTAAAGCTCTAGAGCCTTGCCTTTGAGCCATATTCTAGGCACCCCTGAGAAGTACATGGCTCTGTGCAGATTCCCCAGCGGCTACCAGGAGGATCCCTTTCTTCCTGGCATTGCACACAGCTCCCAAGTGCCCAGAATTGGACCCAGAGGCACTTGCTGTCTGGCATGACATTCAAAGGTGGGTGGTTCGTGACCTTAGGCCTCCATGCCCACTGCCTTACATGGGATGATCTGGATGACACGGGCCTTCTTCATGTTGGCAGGCAGATTGCCTGTCCTCATGTTCTCCTTCATGATCCGCACATTGGTCAGTTTCTGCAGCCAAGGAATTCAGTTAGAGCAAAGGATAACAGTCCTAAGGCAGGGGACCTGCCCAGAAGTTTGTCTCCATCTCCAGAAGTTGCCTTGACATCGGGAGACTGAGCGATCCTACATGTAGCTTGCACTGTTCTTCTTTCCTGGAAGCCAACAACCCGACACCCATGTCCCATCTCCTAACTTTCTAACCTCAAGGCTTTATTTAAGTAGACGCCATTTTTCCGGGCTCCTCAGCCATCCACCCCAGGGAAAGGAAGGTGCCTAGCTGCACTCACCCTGGACTCTCCTAGGGGGTGGAAGATTCCTTGAAGCACTCACCCTAAACTCTTCCTCCAGCCCAATCTTGTCAAAATGGGTGGCTGTGCCATGTAGGGTCTGCAGGTGCCTCTCCAGGGAGGACACATCCATCTCTGTGTCCCCATAGAGGTAATACTCCAGTAAAGCTTGGTAGATGAACGTGTACTGTACCTGCAGGGAGACACGGGATGCTGCTCAAGTCTGCCCTGGACCCAGCGGCTAAAGGACAAGAGTCCGTTCATGATCATGTAGACTGGTCATCTAGGGTAAAATAAGATGACAGTAATGGCCACTGCCTCCATGGCGGCTCCAGCTTCTTAGAACTGCTCCCCATGGCATATGAACATACAAAAGGTTAGGGTCACCGGCTTTTGAGACTCTGTGGGAGGTAATGACAGAACAGGAGGGACACTGGGTCTAACATTGGGCATGCTGATAGCCTATGGCCACCTGCCTATCAAAACCAGGCCTATAAGCTGGGCCTGATGGTGCAGGTCTAAAATTCCAATTATTCAGGAGGCTGAGTCATGGCCAGGCCAGGCAGCTCAAGAAGACCAAGTCTCAGGAAGTAAAAAGATGGCTGAGAATACAGCTCAGTGGTAGAGTGAATTCACATAACAGACCTGGGAGCAATGTCTGGTACTGTAAAAACAAAGCAACAAGGAAAAAACACAGCAAAAACATGTTTTTAATGGGCCTGTGGAATGCGTCGAAGGCACATGAGTGCTCTATAATGCTTAGGCCAGGGCAGGAAGAGGTGCCACTCACATCCGTCTGAACCATCTGAGGGCGCTGATTGCGGATCCTAGACACAAACTCAAAGACATCCACCTTCTGTTCTGAGTGTATCATGTCCATCATGGCGTCAATCACGATGAAAGTGCCTGTCCGGCCCACGCCCGCGCTTCAGGGAGGAGAAAGATGCCACCTCGTAAGTCACATTCCCTTGAAGTAAATGACAAGCCTGGGAAGATGCCTGAACCTGGGGACAAAGGACACAGCCTAGGGCAAAATTAAGTAGGGTACAGCTTGGGAGAACAAGGAGCAAATCTATATATAGCCACCAGAGGGCACTGCAGCCCCAGTAATTTAGCTCAGGACTAGGGCCACTGAAGCCTTTGCGTGCCTCTGTGTGTGTGTGTGTGTGTGTGTGTTTCACTATTCCTACCCCAAACACTGTCTTCTTGTTAAGACCACTGTGGTTGTGTCCTAGTATAGGAACTGAGTGATCCTTGGGGTACCAGGTAATACAGAGGGCAAGACAGTGGACCTGCCCAGAGTTCCCACGCCTGCCACCAACCCGGGCCTGCCAGCTTTGAAGAGGTTTACATATTGCAGCTATATTCAGACATCACTGGGGAAGTGACCAAGTGGGGTAGCTGCTGTGAAACTTCATGTTCACCAGCCCTAACTCTGCTCCCCCAACACGGTCCCATTAGCCAACCCCCACGCCCTATTGTGGCTGCCTGCAAAGGTCATGTCCCTCCCTGACATACCTGCAGTGGACCACAATGGGCCCAGCATGGGAGGGGTTGAGCGTCTTCACCTTCTTCAGGAACTTCAGCATTCCAATGGGGGTGAAAGGCACCCCAAAGTCAGGCCAGCTGGTGAAGTGTAGCTGTGAGACCAGCCGTGGGGCCTTGCAGGTGTCGGGGAGTTGCTGCATAGGAGAAGAAGTGAGAAGTGGGACCACCTGACCCTGACCACTCAGCATCTCCTCCTGAAGGACAGCTGGGGCCCACCCAGGTCAGTGTCCACAAACACAGAGAACCCTGGAAACAGATGAGCACGTACAGCTCTTGGATGGCCAGAGTCGTGTAGTCACACATTTCCAAGGCTCGTCAGATACTGCAGCTGCTAGGTGAGCCAGTTGGCTCTGTCTGGACAGTCCCACCTCACTCCTGGGGACCTGAGACTTTTTCTTTCAATTTTTATTATTTCTTAAAGTAAATTTTTTACACTAGCATATTCTTTAAGTCTCAAAGAGTCAGTGTGGGAAGAAAAGATGGAGGCTTAGCCTACACACTGGAGACCTTCAGACCCTCCCTCATAAATTCTCCAAGCCTTTGATGGTGGAAGAAGACAACACTAGTGTGTTTAGAACTCTCTGTGCATGTGTGAGTATGGGTGTGTGTGTGTGAGTGTGTGTGATGTGTGTGTGTGAGTGTGGGTGTAAGTGTGGGTGTGTGAGAGTGTGTGTTTGTGGGGGTGTGAGTGCAGGTGTGTGTGGGTGAGTGTGTGTGAGTGGAGTGAGTGTGAGTGTGTGAGAGTGTGGGTGTGTGAGAGTGTGAGTGTGTGTGGATGCTGTGCACGTGCACGTTTGCATGCACGTATACTCTGTGTATCTAGGAGAGAGGCCAGCAAGAGATAATATTTTGTGGATGACTCAGAGCACGCTAGGTACATGTTCTACCACTGAGCCACACCCTCAGTCCATCCTTTCAAAACCTTCTGTAGTGGCTTCTAGAAATTTCTCTTCAGATTTTGCAACCTAATCACAGAATTGCTCTGCATTTGTTCCTGATAAAATGGCCTATCCCTGAAGCCTTCATTTCATCCTCCTTGTTTTGTTCACAGGCATTTTTATTGAAGGCTGTCTTGAAAAACATGAAAACATGGGGGGATTCTGAAGATAATTTTGATAGCATCATAAAACAATCCTGTCACTGGACATGGTGGCTCACATCTTTAATCCCATCACTTGGGAAGCAGAGGCAGATGGATCTCTGCACACCTGAGGCCAGCCTGGACCACAAACGGACAAACAGTCTTGTTTCAAAATGTTAGGTTGTAAAAAACATCATACTGGACTCTGAGTATAGCTTGGTGGCATAGTGCCTGCCTGGTGCAGTGGGAAAGGCCCCCCACTGAGTCCCCTACTCTCTGGCTGTCTCACCACCTCCTAGGGAGGCCTAGTACAGTTGCTGGGAGTCCAGGAGCCCAGCACCCTATAGATTTAGATCCTTGGTCCACTAAGTGTGTCCCAGTCTGTCACATGCTCCAATCCTGCAGTCTTAGCGAGAGTTCCTGCCATGCTGGGAGTAGGGCGAGGCAGGGCAGCTCTCCCCTCTGCAAAGCCCCCAACCTAGCTCCCAAGAAGCCAACAAGAGACCTTCATGCGTACCGGGTGGATGCAGAACTTGCGGATGGTGTAGTCTACCAGAACGACACAATCCTCCACACACACCCGGATGTTCCCATAGGTCCAGCAGCCCTGGTCTGGCCAGTACTGGTAGCACTTCTCCTGTGAGGAGCAATTGAAGGAAAAGAATCAAGACACAGTCTAAGACGACATGTCCTCCCACCATTGGCTAAAGGTCGAGTGACCCAGGTCAGCAGTCAGCTCCCCAGGAGCTGGGAGGATGATCCTGCAAGCGTGTGTCTTTTATAAAGGGGGAAAGCAAAGACTCACAAGTGACAAATGTGACTATGAGCCAGCCAGAGTGTTTGGGGTTGGACAAGTAACATCCCAGTTGCTCACTGCCTTATCCCTAGCATCCTATTACTCTAGCCACGCCTGTCCATGCTAAACCTGCTCCTTCAGAGCCAGGGAGCCCGACCCCAATCACCCTCTGGCTGGAGTGAGCCTTGCCCCCCATACTCCCAGAATGCCCTCCTTAGGCATTTCCCTAGGGCCCAGCACTCAGTTTCCTTCCGGTCAGACCACTAATGCTTGACACCCTGCATGCCATTCACAAGGTCACGCTAACATGGGAGACTATTTGGTGCTCCTGGCCACAGAGGCAGTTCTTTACCTGAGACAAGCCCCTAGCAGGCAGTAAGCCATCCATCAGCATGGCATAGAAACCAATGGGGACCACCCCAGAGGGGAAAGAGCTGCACAATCTTCCTTGGAGAAATCTCTAAAATTTAGCAAGTTTTCTATTCACCTCTCAGCTTGTCCTAGAAATGGCCAGTGAATGGCACAGCAAACTGGCCTATTCTCCAGGACCCAAATGATCCCAAAGTAGAAGGTATGTGGCACCATGGAGACCAGCATCCTTGTCACAACACTATGGGACAAACATCACCCCTCCCCATCTCCTGACCTAGGCTGGCCTATAGCCACAGGACACTGAACATGGCCTGTAGTGACACTTAAAGGTTTAGTTGAGTCTTGGTCCCCCTGGGGGTCTGAGGACTCTCAAGCAATTCATCCCTGAAAGGCTCCTACAACGGAATAGGGGTCTCAGACCCCAGGGAGTCTTGACTGCCCTACCATCAGGGTTCACTCGGGTCACAAGACACCAGCTGCTGGGTTTTGCAATGAACTGTCCCGGATGAGGACACTCTGGAGACCACAACTAAAGCCACCAAGGGAAAAGGAACTCTCTTGAGAAATGGCTCCATCTGAGGTAGTAGGAAACTGAGAGAACCAACAGGCGGCCCCGAGTCACAAGGTCAGAAAAATACAGTAGGAGGCTCTCGGGGAGACTGAGATGAATGGCACCACCACGACACGGGGTACAGAGGTCCTCTGCCTCTGCTTGGGGCTACAATGGTGGCCTCTTGGAGAAGCGGCCCTCGGAACACCTGGTCTCTGTGGGCAGTGGGTTACAGAGATGCGAGGGATCCGATGAGGGTCAGTCTCCCTGTTTACGGAATGGAGGTCCCTCCCCACAGGGCAGGAAACCTATGGTGAGAGCTCCCTTTCCCTCCTGTCACTCTTCCATCGGTGACGAAGGACAACAAGGGTCGGAGTCATGAAGTGAGCAAGAAGCAGCAATCCCCACTCTGTCCCCACTGTTTTCCTCCTGATGGATACGAAAACTAGAAATTGACACTGCAGGCTTTTTCTTGTGCTGCTGGGCATGGAGCCCACTAGTGAGGTGCCCTGGGGTGTTCTGCTGCCCATTACGTGGGTCTCATCCTTGCTCTCTTGTGTACCCCAAGGCTGGGTGTTCTGTCCAAACCCTGTAGGCCCTGCCCGTGTCCTCAGCACATGGGACACTGTGAGCACTGGGTTAGTGCCACCTGTGCAGCGAGTCTTGGGTGGGAGCCCAGCAGGCAGACACCTTCTGCCAAGCTGGGCCTTCATGCTGGAACATGCTAGAAGCACAGTCTACTAGTTGGGTCTCCGCAGCTGAGGAAGCTTCCCTCAGGCTTCCAATTCCCCTTTCACTTGGAAAAAGAGTTCTGCACCAACAACACATCCGGCAGGCCTTCAGATCTCCCAGGGCTCTGCTGCTCTCCCTCCCTTCCAGCCTGTCTGTATCTGAGCCAGTTCCTGGCACTGGTGATGGAGGCAGAGGCTCAGCAGACGCTACCAGGGTCTCTTTGATAGGAGTCAGGGCAACTGCACCTCTCATTCTTAGCTGATGCTTTGAACTCAGGTGCACACACATGCCTCCCATGAGCCTGTTGTTGGAGACCATCTCTCTAGCCTAGGAAAGGCCTAGGCAATGGTGTTCATGGCAACCAGGCCCACCACATGTGACACACACCAGCACCTTTCACTCTAATGTCTGTCCCTCTCTCCACTGGGGTTAGAGCTACGGGTGGCCCAGATGATCCTCAGACAAAGAAGGGAAACTATGATTCCTTATGTTGGAGCAGGACAGTAATGTATGGAAATGTGGAGAAGAAACTTCAAGATAGGGCTCTGGAAGGCCTGAATGCTGTGTGTGCCCCACTGATAGGAAAGAGGTGCCCAGGCAGAGAAAGTGGTCAGGACCTCCCTGGTGAGGGCCAGGCTTCAGGGTCAGTGCAGGGGAGCTTACCTCCTTCCTCTCCTTCAGGTTCGTCAACATGACGATGGTGGCTGACTTCTGTTCCCAGACCATCCTCCAGAAGTCATTCACTGTCTCCTGTTTAGGGCCTGAGTATAGAAGGGAGGGTCAGCGTGGAGGAGCCATCTCAGCTCACCCCATGAATCCATGGAAGGCTCATACCTTCCCCAGGCACAAGACAGGCCCTGCAACCTGGAAGCTTGCAGTGGAGCCAGCCAGAGTCTGGGTAGCTATGTTGACTCCCAGGCAGTAAAGGGGGAGCACGGGAGCATGTTTGAGGGTCATCTCTGCTCTGCTTGTCATAGTAGCTGGGATCTAGGCTACCACACACACTTGAGTGCCCCAGAGTCACAGGCCCCTCCAGACGAATGGGAAGGCAAATGTGTGTGAATGTGAGTGAGTTTGTGTGCTTGAGGAGGCAGGGAAGGAGAGGGATAGAGAGAGCAGGAAAAAGAAGAAACTCCTCTGCCCTTTGCCCACTTCCTGTCTGAATATGACACAGTGCCTAGGGGTATAACAACTATTTTTCGATCCCGAGGCTAAGAGTTCTGTGCTCAGGAGGCGGGGGCAGGGGGAGAAAGAAATCCTCCTTGGCAAGACCCTTTTTACGTTTCCATCAACATTTGACAGATTTTCTCTCATTTACAGAGGGCACAGTCCCGAGAGTAACGAGTGCTTCTTTTTCTAGGGAATCGGACCTAAGAGGAGGGGAAGGGAAATCTAGTTTCAGCTTCACTGATTCCTGGGGAATTGCTGAACCCTCCTGGAAAGACAGCCTCCAGCAGGTTCTCTAAGCACAGGGTGGGGACTAGGTCCAAGGGTAAGGACATGATTCTGTGGCTGAGCCATGCTGGCTATGACCTTGAGCTAAAAGCCCCTCCAACACATCCTCCCAGCAAAGTAGGAGCCTCGGAGCTAAGACAGCTGAGGGAAGTCAAAGTTATCTCCTGAGTGTGAGCCTTGAGGAGGCAGGAGGGCAAGCAGAGGCCCCTTGTGTGTGCTGTGAAGCCACAGAGGCACAGAGTGTGGGTGTCTGACACAGTGACACAGGGTGCACACCCCCAGAAAACCAGTGTGAATTGTTGGTTGCTATTGTTGGCAGTTAGATAATCCGATGACTTTATAAAAATACTGCACGGACATGAACTAAATCGAAAGCTTGCTTACCTTGAGCTGCTATGAATTTGTTCTTTTCTTTGTAGCCCTAGAAAATGAAGTCAGACTTGTAATTATCCAGGAGTATCTTTGCCCAGGGGACCACTTTGTTCACAGAAGGGGAGGGGAGATTCACCCCCACAGAATGTTGACAACAGGAAAGAGTAATACAAAAACAAAACCCGTCAGCAACCCCAGAGACAACAGGTACTATTTTCTTATGGCCTATTGTCTTTTGTTTGTTTGTTTTCCTACATACACACAAGCAGGCATACACATTTATATTTCTAATTGGGCTCATGTACTTCTTGCATACAAAATCCTTTTATGTCTTTATATTTTAAGTAAGAAATTTAAAACCTTAAATGTTATTTCAAAGAAATCTAAATTAATTCTGTGGCCTACTGTGGTTTGTCTAGTCAGAGGCATCTGGCTGGTTCTAGTTTGTCAACACCATAAGGAACTGGACTGAATACTTTCAGTGTCTACTGTGGTCATTACCCCCCAGGATCTGTTATCTTTGTGACTTATGGTGAAGATACAAGCTGGGAAAGTGTGATATCCTCATGCTCTCAGTGTGACCAAACTGCTTGAGGGGTGGTGACCCCACACACATACTCATGGTCAGTGAGGAAGATACCCACACATCACAGTTCAGCCCCAGGCCCTGAATACCCAGCCTCAACTTTATGTCAGACTAGGGAAAAGGAAATCAGTCAACTTACATCTATGTAGGAAGCGTTAATGTAGTCAGAGCAGGGGATTCCATCCACTTGACTCAAAATTACTCTGGAATGATCATCTGGGAAAACAAACAATCCCGTGGTGTTAGGACAAGGAGATACAATGACATGGGGTATCTTTTATCTAAGTGTCAATCACTTGAAGGACATAACCATTTCTCCCCTTGAGGTCAGGGTGGGGTGCCCCTGCCAGGGGAGGGAGGAGGAGAGGTGACCCCATGATCACACAGGCAGAAGAGCAGGTAGTGAAGTGACCATGTTCTCACAATGGGTCCAAAGGTTAACAACTGAGGGGCACATATCTGGACCTTGGGATGAAGACCTAGGTCTTTTTGTTCAGGCCTTCTAGAAGACATGCGGGACTGAACTCCAGCTCCCATTCTTCACCATCTACTCCAGTGCTGGAAGGAAATTGGGCTCGTACATGTTGGACCATTGACTAAGGAGAGTGTATCTGGCTCAACAGGGTGTTTTCCAGTGTAGGAGGGCAGCCAGGTATGTGTGTGTGTGTGTGTGTGTGTGTGTGTGTGTGTGTGTGTGTGTATTTGTGGTGTTGTGTGTTGCATACACGTGATATGTGTTGAGGATGTAGTCTATGGTATAAGCATGATGCTGCATGATGGGGTGTATGTCTATTGTGAGTTATATGTGCTGCATTGTGTGGCATGTGTATTTTTGTGGTATTGCGTGTTATACATGTGTGGTATGTACATGCTTTAGTGTGCTCAGTATGTATTGTATGGTAGGCCATGCTGATTGTGAGTTTATTATGTGTGGGTATATGGCACAATGTGCCTATAAGGCGTGCGTTGTGATGTGTGTGGTATGATATGTTTATAGGGTTTATTTGTGTGGTGTACGTGCTGTGGTATACATATGGTGCGGGGTGTTGCAGTAAGGTATGTGCATATCAGGAGCTGTGGCCCGGTTCCTCCACAACCCTTTCTTCCATAGAAATTTTATCACTGTCAGCACATAGTGAAGAAGATGGCTGAAGTGGGAAGGGTTACAGTGCCAACACGCAGGAGGCCGAGGCAGGAGGACCGAGAGTTCCAGGCTCACTTGGGCTTGGGCTGTGGCCTGCTATACATGGAAGGCAGTTGGCTGGTCAGTGTGTTACCCCAGACTCCCTGGCTGAGGTTCATTGCTGAGTGCATCTGTCCTACTCTGGGCCGAGGAGGGGATGGCACAACTCCGGGGACAGTTACTAGCCCACACATGCTGGGCAGGATGTTTAACCCCAGATCCATGGCCACATGTCTAGACACTCCTGCTCAGGGGCTCAGGGCCTCGGTGGAAACAGCTGTGGCGTAGCACACGTCACGCTAGCTGAACAGAATTTAGAATGACTTACGCTGTGGAACAGTTATGGAAACATAGGACAAAAAATAGCATCTACACGGACTTAGACTCTCACAGCTTCTAAGAGCTTCCTGCTTCTTAATCCTGAAAAGTCACACTTGGCTGTCAAAACATCACTTTCTAAAATTACCGTCAGTGGCATCCTTCCAGTAGAGGGCCATCATGCTGCTGGCTAGAGAGAGTCCCCATAGGCATGAGTCTAGCCTCTGGACACAGAGCACTTGACTCTACCTTTGGGATTCTCAGGCCAAGGCCAACACTGCACTCCAGCCCAGGGGCATCTTTGAATCTACTGCAAGTCTTCCCTGGCTTGGGGTAGACTAACAGAGACATGGGGCACCTGGAGCTGTGAGCATTGGATCTTCCCATCCCACCTTGCAGATCCTAATTAGAGTCCATGAGATTCAGCCCACTGTCTTGCCCCATTCCATATAGTCAAACCTTAACCAGATGACACTATTGGCCTTTGACAGGCATGGTGTTCCCATGCTGCAGAAAACTCAAAGCAAAAACAAACAGGTCACCTGTGCTCACAGTTCCGGGTAGCTGTCAACACGCTGGGTCAGGTGTTACTCCTGGGTAGGGAAGGCAAAGGTTGGCCCTCACCCTGGGGCAGGAGCAAGGGAACTTATGGGGGACATTGAACCGGCCTCTTTACAGTGCTGCCACACTTTCACCTGGGGAGAGGGCAGGTTGATTTCCTTCTGTATTGCAACCCAGCCTTGTGCAAAGCAGGAAGAGCTTGGAAGGCACCCAGCCTGTGCCAGGGTGACTCCTCGGTGAGCTGAGCACCCCACTGTGCCTACTGCAGGAGCTGGGCCATCGATTTGGTTTCCTTGAGCTCTTACAAGAAACTGGCACTCCTCAGTCTGTCTGTCTGTCTGTCTGTCTCCTTTCTTTTCTCCCTCCCATCCTTGTTTCTCCTCTCCTTTTTTTTCCTTTTCTTTTCTGAGACAGAGTCTTACTTGCCATGTAGCCCAGGCTGGCTTCTATCTGGAGAGCTCCTGCCTCAGCCTGGAGGCTGTTGAAACTACAAGTGTGAATGGCCACCTCTGTCTCAGACATATTCTTGGTTAGGACTGCGAGTGTTAGCTTTAGGGGACAGAATGTTTAATGATTAAGAGAGAAAGTTAGGTAAGATGCCCTCAATTTCTTTGACTCTGAGGTACACGGAGCTGTGTCCTGTCCAATATATGATCCTAGACTAGATTTCCAGCACTTTTAGGAGGTAGCACAAGGTTTATAAGTGATTTCTGTAAAGCCTATCATGATGCTAGGATCCAACTTAACCTTGTCCCAAACACACAGGGGCCAAACCAAGACACAAATTAAGCTCATCAAGAGGGGTGACTGAAGCATTAAATCAGAAATCAAAACTGATCTTTGAATATCTCAATTTTCAGCTGGCACAGAGCACTCTGAAGAGTACAGATGCCTTCTTGCTTAGGCTTTTCTTGCCTATGAGCTACTGAGTCACAGCATGGGTCCCCCTCTTCCTCAGATTCCAGAACCTGGCCAGCAGTAACGTCACTGTATCCAGAGTCTAAACTTGGTATAAGCAACCCTCATAGCCTGGATGCACAATTACGCCCTCCTCCCTTGGCCCCAACAAACTAAAGCCCATTAGTCAATTACTCTAGGTTTAGTTGCATCCTAGGATCACGGTGGACTTTACAAAAAATTACTTATAAACCTTGCGCATGGACAGTGGGGAAGAGCTACCTCCAGAAAATGCCAGAAATCTAGATCATATATTGGACAGGTCTCAGATCCTTGTACACACAGCACACTGAAGCTGACTGTGGCCAGCCTCCTGACCCCACCAGGCTCTACTCAAGAGCAAGGGACTCTGGCCAGTTTTTGAAAGGGTGTCTGGGACCATGCAAGGTTTGTCTAGTGGTGAGACAGTCACCTCCGGATCAGGCTCAGCCAGCTACAGCAGGCCATAAGAGGCCCAGCCCACAGCAGCCTGCACCCTAGCTCTGACACTTCCTTGGCAACCACACTCCCCAGCTCGTGGTTTCTGTTTGCTGCTGAGGTTACAATAAGGCTTGCTAAGCCTTTTCTCAAGGGTGCCAAACCTATGTGGGCTTTTCGTTCTACCATTTTGGTCTTTGGTTCTGAACCATACAGCACACTGGGAATTTGTTCCTGGTCGCTTCAAACAGTAAATATGAAGGAAGGCGCTGTGCAAGGCCACCAACAGGCCTAGACTGGTGTCCAGGAGTGAGTCTGGCAGGAGAGGCCTTCCCTGTTGATGCCAAGCTTGTGAGGAACATTCCTGCCCAGCTTGCTTCCTGTATTCTTGCTTAGCAACCAGAGCGGTCAACAACAACAAAGATGCCCACACCCCATGCAGGGAAATAGGCCCTCAGATGGTGTAGTCCCAGATTCCCTGGGACGAGCACTGAGCACATGGTCACCACAAGCTGCAAAGCAGTGCCAAGTGTAACCCGGATGTCACAAATCATGCAAACACAATAAATAACAACAAAGTCTTACTGGGCAGAATGTTGGGATATCTGTTTTTTTCTCTGTTTTCTTCTTTATTTGCTAGATCAAAAGTCCCCTGTACGTGTCCAGATGGCAACGACTGGAAGGAAACAGAGAGTAGAGTGAACACCAACACAACTAAATCCAGGTTCCCATCCGCTTCCCTACCAAGCCCAGGAATTAAAACTACCATCCACCATCATCCATGTCTCCTTGCGGGCCCCACACTAGACACTGGGCAGACAACAAGCTACATCCTAAACTCTGTGAGGTTAGGAACTCACAGCCTACCTTGCCCCAGTTCATACAAGTTTTAGCACAGGAAGGGACTCCTCGGGTACAAGTGGACTGATCTCAAAGGAGTTGTGATGCAGGAGAGAGGGAAACAAAGACTACCAAGAAGAAGATGCTGAGATCCAGGCCTGGGCTTCAGGAGAGGAGGAGCAGGATCCTGGAAGGGACTGTAGACACAGCCCTCGCCCTGCTTAGGACTCTGATGTCCCTGTGGATTGGGTCAGGTCAGCAGGGTCAGGCGTAGAAGCTCCCTAGAAATGCTGATTCTCTCAGTTCCCACCCCCAGGCCCCAGAATCAGCAGCTAAGAGCTTGGGGCTCTTTGAAGCTCAAGATGCACCACCTTAAATGACCACCGTACCCCATCAGAGGAGTGTCAGTGTGAAACAGAAGTTTCACTTTGCCGAGATGCTAACATGAGAAGCACCACATCTGGGAGTGAAGTGGACATGTGGGTTTCTAGTTCCTTCTACCACTGAAGCCACCCTGCCTCTGATTTTTGGTTGCCTCCAACTGTCTGCCTCTTGCTTGTTTCTGGGTTCCTCTTCATACACAGATGAGCCAGGGTGAAGAGCACTGTGAACTTCAAATCATGCCCTTCAACATTAAGCCTGACTCTGGTTGGACCTAGGACCACTGGGCTCCAAGGAAAAAATGTTACTACTCACTGAGAGTTTGTGATGGGTCAGGCACAGAGAAAATGCATGGCTCTTCTGCCTCCCCTCACAACTAGCCAATGATCTGATGACATGGAACCAGACCCAAGGAAGAGTGGTTGGAGATATGCTCAGTATCATTTGGCTGAAGAGGTAGACCCTTGTCATCAGACCTGGAGGGACTCCCTTGCTCAAGCATGGGAAACACTTGAGCTTTCCTCTTTCCTGTGTCCTTTCCATGTCCCTGGGAGTTGGGGTCTGGCTTCACAGAGCAGCCTCAGAAGACAGACATGATATCCTAGGATTGCTCTCATTTCAGTCAGGGCCCTAACCTCCCTCTAGCAGGCAGGAGCTTCTTCAGTGGCTGACTCAATTCTCCACAAGTGCTTACATCAGGATGCTGAAGGGCATCCAGTCCGCTCTGCTCTGGGGTCACCGTACCCCATAGCCACAGGCAGAGGCTTTGCCTGAGCCAGTGTGGAGGGACCAGTCAGAGGTCATCCCACCAATGCCAACAGGACATTCACAACTTTGTCCCCAGCTATGAACACTCGTGTTCCTTGAACTCTGATTCACCAGCAGAGCTGGCTTGACACTACCTCCCTGGCCCTCACTGGACACTGAATTTGTGATGACATTCTAGGGTCTTCTCAAAAGATTTTAGGGGGCACAAAAACCCATCACAGTGGCACAAGAAACCATGCAGCTGGCAAACTCCACAGCATGAGAAGATCCTAGGTATTCAGTGATAATACTGTCAACAGGGATGATTAATTTTAACATATGGGACTTTCCCCAACAGGTGGTCCATGGCAGAGGAACCTGCTCTATTGAAGGGATGGGGTATACAGGAACTCTCCAGTGTGTACGGGATTTTTCTGTGCACTTGAAACCATTCTAAACATAAAGCCTATTAAAAGGAAGACAAAGTAGCTGCCATGTAGTGGCCAAGGAAGCCTGAGTGGAAAGAGGAATCAAAGCTCTGGTCACTCCTTCCCTTCCACAGCTGTGTGGCCTCGAGACACGGGGTATAGAGATAAGGTGGTATACCCTGTCTGCCCTCCCTCCCCTCCCCTGCATGCTCCTGGTGAACAGGACTAGGGGAAGTGGGCAGAACCAGGCGAAGTTCTCTGTGTCCTCCAGATTCAAGCAAGCTGAACAGCTCCCTGCACAGACTGGGCCCAGTATGTTTTCCTCCTGTCTGGCTACCCAGGACCTCAGGGTTCTCAGCTGCTTGGTAGCCCCAGGGAAGCAAGAGTACCTGGAGATGTTTAGCTTGCAGTGACCCTCTGTGGGTTCTGTAGAAGGTCTGGTTTGTTCAATCAACACTAGAGGATGGCTCTCATTTGCATGTATGGTGTGTGTGTGTGTGTGTGTGTATACATACATACATATCTCCCTTTGTATGTATTTCTGCTATATTTGTCATAGTGTAGGTCCCATGCTCCTGACTTGACACAGGTTGCTGGGACAAAACTGGGGAAGATACTCGAGAGAGAGGGGTTTTTCACTGCACAGGGGCCTCCTTTTCTAGAACTGAATTCAGTAACTGGAAACAGGTTAGAGATCTGTCCTCTCCAGGAGGAGCTGGTGGATAGCGTCTCATCCGCAAGTTGCCTGTTACTTATTTGTTTACGTGTTATCAAAGTCCCACAAGGTAGGGAAAATCCCTCCTTCACAGATAAGGAAACTGAGGCAGGGGTTAAGAAAACAGCCCAAGTCTTCCAGGCCAGGACAAGTATGCAAACTAGCCAGCTCCAGCATTCATCACACAGTGCTGATGATCCCAAGGCCAAACCCCTTCTTAGCCTCAGGTTCACGTTCAACTGAACTGTACAGAATGTCCAGGATCTTTGGAAGGGGCCATCAGACAGGAGAAAGGGAGGAGGTTGGAAAACAGGACTTAGATATGTTCTCTGAGAACTGAAGCAGCTGATTTAGGTAGGAGAGAGATGTCGCAGGACTGTGGCCTTGGACAGGGCTGGTTTCTTACTGGAGAGAGGAACCAGGTTGCATGCACTCCACCCTACAACCGTGTCTCTAGCTGCCTGATGCCAGGCAGGGGGATTCTGCACAGCTGAGGGCTACATTGAGGCAGTCTGGGAGGCATAGGAGAGGGAAGAATTTGTGTGGGTATAAAATTTACAAGACTCCAGAAAAAGCCAAGAGTCAGCAGAAACGAGCCCCTGAGGCAACATCTTTTCTATCATACACTTTCTTCTTAAGCTTTTTAGGTTACAATTATTTGTTTGTGCGTGCATGCCTGTGTACACACACACATGTCCATGGCACGCATATGAAGGTCAGAAGACAATTTTTCACAAATCAGGCCTTTTCTCCCACCATATGGATTTCAGGGATGGAACTCAGGTTGCCATGTTTGGTGGCAAGTACCTTTCTTTACCTACTGAACTATCTTATCAGGCCGGAAACATCTTTTCTAAAAAGCTAACTTATTGTTCAAAATTCATAGCGGTGAAAACATCAGACTTTTAAACAATGGTAGAATCCATAACTACATGATACAAGCCATAGTGGAGCCCCAGGCCATAGGGAAATACACTGGCATTGTTCTCTCTTGATTGTGATCAAGCTGTTTCATTCAGCATCACTTGCTTCATTTTGATATTTTAATAAGCTATTAAGCCACGGCATGTCTTAGCTACTGTGCTTTTTGGGTCCTCTTGAGTTCTGAGCCTGAACCAAGTCCCTGAACTGCCTCACCCTGCTCCAGGCCTACTGTAAGAGCCTCCCCTCCACTAACAACAGAGTCACTGGCACACCACACAGACAGCAGAAGGGGAAGGGGAAGTGGGATGAACAGGGCAGGACAAACGTCTACTAGCAACGTGAGGGACGGCTATTTTGAAAATGGAGAATTAACGTCTGCTGCTAAGTTGTGAATTTTCAAAACGACATTGCTCGGTGCTGTCTTTTAATGTGACCTAATTAAAAAAAAAAAGAGGAAAACACCCTTGGCAGCAATAAAAGGGGAAGCAAGACAGAGGGGAGGGCGTAATGCTGGAAAGCAAGTGAAGTGTGGTTAAACGCACCAGCGCCTTCCCATGTCCTCGCAGGCATCTCTGTGTGAAAAGTCAGGCCATCATCACTGTCCACATGACCTCTAGAAACAACCACACTGTACCCTTCAAAAGCTCATCCCCCGGAGCTCACATCTGGGCTGTCACAGAGCCTCCATCCCCAGGTACCGTTGGTGGTGGAAGTAACCTGGAGTAGGACAGCTGCTATGACAGAGTCAGACCATCCATGGACACCCGCTCTTGCTCAGGCCCAACATTCAGCTCCCAGTTCTGCAAACAGGGTGAGGATTTGAACAAAACACTTCAAAATACCAACAGTATGAGGACCTTGTGTCTACGGCAATGCTTCATGCCTACCCATCTGGCAGACATTAAACAAATGAACAACTCCGGGGCTGGAAAGATGGCCGAGAGGTTAAGAGCACTCTCCGCTCTGGTAAAAGACCCGGATTCTGTCCTCAGAACCTACTTGGTGACTCGTGACCACCTGTAATTCCAATTCTAGGGGATCTGATGGCTTCTTTTCGCACTGGATGCATGTGGTACATATACATTGTGAAGTACTCACACATACACAAAAATTAGAGTGAAACAAGGAAATGGACAACTCTAGGGGGGTGGAGTGACAGATCTGTACTGTGTCCGAGCTCTGAGAATGACTATGGGGACTGTTAGCGGGCGGGGGGGGGGGTATGTCTTAGAGAGCCACTTCTCCTCAAAGGTTGTAGGAGTAATTCATCACAAACAACAGAGACTCATACACACTGGGCATGAGCTGGTGTCCCCTGCAGACAGTCTCCACAGCGACTGAACTGTGCCATGATGGTGTCTCAGAGGGACAACTGCTGATCTGATTAGAAGCTGGCCCTCTTTTTTTTTTTTTTTTTTTTTTTTTTTTGGTTTTTATGAGACAGGGTTTCTCTGCATTGTTTTGGAGGCTGTTGGTCCAGCCCGGCCTCGAACTCACAGAGATCTGCCTGCTTCTGCCTCCCGAGTGCTGGGATTAAAGGTGTGTGCCACCACCGCCCGGCTTAGAAGCTGGCCCTTTTGGGGAGCATGACAAGATGCTTGGTGGGAGGCTCTCTATAGCCTTCAGCATGGAACTTCCCCTCACTAAGCAGCCCATGGTAGAATAGTGTGTTTATCACAACTGGTGTTACACCTGATTCCCAATCACTGAGCTGGCAGCAAGCCTCCGAGCATCAGACTCAACCAGCTCACTTCACAAGGAGCAGTGAACACCAGTGAAGGGCACAGCACTGGGGAGCAGGCTCTCCAGACCCCACTTCTGAGCAGCATCACAATTGGCGCAAGGTCCCTGGGTCCCCGGACTCTAACTGCCCTGCTGCTCCTCATGGTGGCTGGGACCTGGTGCACTCACATTGAACTCCTCACGGAAGCGCTTGCAGTCATCTGCTGATCTCACACGGATTTCCTCCTCCAGGTGCTCCACTGGGATGGGGAAGTACTTTTTGGGACCTGATGGAGACCTGCTCAGCAGCATCACTCTCTGCTGCTCTGTAGGGTCAGGAGACACAGAGAAGCCACTTAGTTCCATTGCCCATAGGTGACTCATTCCATAGATGGTCTGACAGCATTCCTGATGGATCTGTATAGTGGGAGGGGAGCAGTGCTCTCAAATCACGCACCCTGGGGCGAACTCAGCCCTGAGCCGCGGAATCAAACATCTGCTTCCCAACACACCCTGTTTTCAGCAAGTGATGGCAGCATTCCTGTCCATCGCAGACACTGCATTCTTGATCTTGCTCACTAGCTCACCCGTCACTCATCCTTCCCTCTAGCCTATGCTCCACAAGAGTCACTGCAGCTGCATGCTACAGGTCCAGGTTTGGGACCAGAGAAGAGGAATCACAGGGCTCCAGGTAGAAGCTCAGAAACAATGGGAATCTGCCAGGATCTTTGTCTTGCAGCCTTCTCTCCCTGGCAACATACAGGCCTGCTTTCTTGAACCCCATACAAGCATTTTTCTTGCAGAGAAACCAAGCATCCTTGAGTCAGGAAAAGAGGGCATTTCAAAGGGTAGGCTCTGGGCTCAGAGGCTTGGACAAGTCACTTGCACAATCTCAGAATGAGGTGCAAGCATTGGCAGGTACTGGTGTTGCTCTTCACAGGGAGAGAGCTGACACTGATAAAGGCAGTAAAACAGTAAACAGGTCAGCTGTCACCCTTGCAAAAGACCCTGTCCCATCTGCAGAGTTCACTGAGTCTATACCACAGACTTTGCTCCAAGGCCGCCTTTGGCTTCAGCCAGGTGAACTGTTACAGGCCCGTGGGCTTCTGTGCCCCTCCCAGCTGCACTCTTCCCTCTGCACTGGCTGCTGGGGTGTGCAGGGGAGTGAGAAGAGGAGGCTGGATCATGGAGGTGCACTAGGCCAGATGATGGTCCATTCAGGAGTGCAGGTCCCCCAAGTCCTGCAATGCTACAGCTCAGTGGAGTCTCTGCTGTTCACATTTTCCCCAGCTCTGGGGGTTGTATTAGCCCCTTCATTACCTTGAGTGAGTTCTAAAGTTTCACCTGAGTTCTGATGACATGCACACTACCTCAAACCAGGCACAGCTGTATAGGAAGTTATGACAAAGCTGAAGCCACAGGCATGAGCCAATGTTTGGGGTTTTCAGTTGGCACCCTGGGGATTGTACCAGGGACTTAGCATATGCTGGGCAAGTGTTGTGCTACTGAACTGCATGCCCAGATACTGTGGTCATTTGAAGCAAGATCACAGGCTGGCCTTGAACCTGTGATGCTTCTGCCTCAGCAGGTGCCTCCAAGTGCTAAGATTATAAGCCTGCATCACCCCACTCGGCCAGAACCTGCGTGTTTAAAACCATTGCTTTGTCTACCACTGAAACACAGAAAGAAAAACAAGCTTTTGTGAGCAGCATTTACAAGTTAGAACACAGCTGGAATCTAAGTTCGGCACGTCCCTTAACTGACGCTCCTTCAAGAAAGCCAGCAGCTTTGGCAAAGCAGTGTCCTTTCCAGCTTGATCCCAAGGTAGTACAGTGTCAACTGAACACTTCTCTTTTCAAGTTAGAGCCTTATCACAGGGCGATTTCAAAGGCCTCAGTGAGAAATGTTAGATGGCAAAGCCCTGCTAAACTGACAGGATATGAGTAGTCTCTTAAAAAAAAAAAGCAAACCAAACCCACAAACTGAAACATCTCAGACATCTGCTCTCCTTTGCAGGGAAAATGACCCCTGACACCAAGTTCTGAAATACAGAGACATTCTGTGTTACTAGCAAGCAGTAGCACAAACCCAGGGGGAGCTGGAGAGAGAGGAGAGCTTAAGCGACAGTCGGACAGGGCTGCTCTTGCCCCTTTCTGGGTCAGTACTGAGACCCAGTGTACCATACCTTGCTCTTCCAGGATGCCGTTGGGCATCTTCTTGTCGTTGTTGCTGACCACGGATTTCCTCTGCTTCCTGAACCTTAGAGGCATAAGATGCGCATTAGGTCTCTGCACAGAGGGAACCCCCAAGCCCTGAGTGCCTTGATACCCACCAGGTAAGCCCGGTAAAGCTCTTTCTGCTGCTCATGGCTGAGCCTTGAGCGGCGGAGGCCGGCCAGCTGGTGTCTGAGCTGTTTGGGCCCACACCCCCAGCCTCCAGCACACTCATTTCCTCATAGGAGCTGGTTAGGGCACGTCAGCGCCTGGGGACACTCCTACCTGAAGAAGTAGGCTGCGAGGAGGAGTAGGAGGAGGAGCAGAGGCAGCAGCAGCCAGGTGAGCAGTGGCTGGGAGGTCCCAGGGTCCGGAGGGCCTGTGGGTAGGCAGATGGCAGAGGGCAGAGGCCCTATCAGGATCCTGGGCAGGGGTGAGGGAGGATTCCCACAGCACACAGTTTGCAAATTATCTCCCATCAGTTCTTGGGGCAGAGGAATGTGATAGTATAACTTGTCCGAGGCCCCTTCCTGTACCTCAATGAGTCTTGCTCGTCAGTTATTTCTCTGAGTACCTCAGGCCAGCTCCTCTCCACAGTGGTGGAGGAAGGTGGATCCCCCTCAGGGAACAGTTGTTGTGTCCCAGCCCAGTTGGGGCAGGAACACCAGGCATACAGGAACAGGCTGGCCCCAATGTTGGGTACAGTTCTTGAGGAACAGATACAATGTGGGCTGGCGTTTCAGGGTCGTGGGCTCCCTGTCACGATGTCAGGAGTGCCGAGACTGCTGGCCTTCAGGAATCACCCTTGCTCATCCATCCTGCACACTAGCAGGCCCACCTTCCTCAGAGAGACTACATCCCTGTCCTCACTCCTTGGCTCTGGTGACCTTGTGATCATCAACTCACCACACTCTCAAGGCCCGTTAGGGTGCTCTCTTACGGCCACAAAGTTCCCACCCAAAGGGCTCCACCAGAAGCCCGCTTCTCCAGCCAACCAGCTTGGCTCCTCTCTTGAACCTGAGGGTTAAACACTGGAGTTGAGGACCACATGCTGCTAGGGGTGAGCATGTTCCCCATGGAAGGGTCCTGGAAGTCAACAGCTAGATTTTCATCCCCTTGGGTTCCAGAAGTGGCAAATATTGTTCACAAGCTGAGTGTGTGTTGTGGGGTTCACATCCTTCCTCCCATGGGGCCAGCCTAGTCCCTTGAAGCTCAGGGCTCCAGGAAGGAGTTTGAAATCTGGTCATTGCCTTCCCACTCTGTGCATGTAATCTAGAGGCCGTGACCCACAGCCTGCCACCTGTGATCCTGTCCCAGAAGAACAAGGCCAGGTTTGTATTAGGCTAGGAATATCTGTCCCTCCCTCCAGCCCAAATCCACCTATTGCCCTTCAGGAGCAGCCTGGCCCAAGGTTTCCTATCTGTGATTCCAGGGAATGCTATACCCTGGGGTAGGGCCTGGAGCAAATTCTAGCCTGAGCTGCCAAGAGCTACCTAGAGCTGAAGGGCAGAGTTGAGCTACTGCCAGGGAGTCCCAATGCTCAGGGTACCCTGATTCAACTCCATCCACTTTTGGTCAAAGGCCATTGGGAAGTGTGGGCAGCCTCCTTCTTCTTTTCCAGAAATGCTCACTATCTTTTCTCGGTATGTCGCCATGGTGAAACTACTCACTTCTGCATTGCCCAGAGGTCAGTCTCTGGCTCAGCCTCTGCTCTGCAAGAGCAGTCACTAGACTGGCCAGCCACGAGGTCCTCTCTGGCCTCTGGACCCTGCCAAAGACTTGAGGGACCAGCCTCCATGTCTGTGTTCTTTGAATACAGCCTGCGGTAACAGACATGGGGATCCTACAAGGCATGGGTTGGATGACCCAAGCTGTAGATGGGTTGTCACACAGGCGGAACAGGTGACTGACGCAGGGGGCCCACTATCCCTCAAGTTGGTTCCTGTGACTTCTAATGAGGGTTGTCCAGAAAGGCAGAGGTCAGGACCAGTACTCCCCAGGCTTTCCAAGGGCAGCATGAACATCCAAAGCCAGACTGCTTGGTGTGGCACACAGGGAGCCACGTGGGGCTTGCTCTGGCTACAGGGTGTCAGGTCCTATGGGAAGATGGCTTCAGTGCTTCTTACCTTGAACATTGCAAAGGAAGAAATCCATACTTTATATAAAAGTTTTGAAGTTGTCAGTATTGGTCAGTGATTAGGTTTAAATTTAACTTTGATCAATAGTGTGGGCCAGAGAAGAAACCCTTTGTAAACTGGGACAATATCCCCTTGGCCGTGGTGATGCTCCACCCAGGGAGGCATGAGGCCTCCCAGAGGACATCCTACAATCACTTTCTGCTTCCAATTCCCACTGACTCTGGGTCTCTAGATGGTTCAGCCTTTTCCCTAATGTGCTGTTGCATTTCCCAACTGTATGAGTACATGTATGTTCACAAGGATTTTGGGCCTAGGCATGTGTGTATACACACATTTGCTTACACATAATCTGGTCCTGACACTGGAAAGACAATGGTTTGTGCGTATGTGTGTATGTGGGGGGGGCTGGAACTTTTTACTTTGGTCGCAGATTCCCCCAGTAACTCATCTGCTGTTCAGAGGGACCCATGCAGTAGGGCATGGGTCAGCTGCGGGGGGGAGCGCTCGTTCCAGACCCTATGGAGCTTGCACCAATCTGCAACAGGGTACTCCTCCAATGAGGGGGCATTCTACATCTCTAAGGGGTCCCCAGTGGAGAACTTTCTGGGTGCTAGTCCATAAAGCGTCATGCACCAGAGGCCTGTGATAAACATTCTAAGTCGCAGACACAGTGAATACACATAGGCTAGCTGCTTTGCTCCCCTGGCATGAAGTTGTCAATGCATCATCTTTTACATTTTCTCTTATGAAGCTATGTTCTTAAACGTGCAGGTTTGGTAAATAAATAGACTCACTACCCCATCCTGTCATCCAAGATCACATATGTTGCAGGAAGTACTGTTATTTTATGAATTGTTAGGAAAGGAAAAACCCCAAACTAATGATTATGCAGAATCCTTTACTTGACACATCCCAACGCTAATGCTATGCATGAAGCAGCCAGATGAAACACACTCCGAGCAGTTCCCCGGTTCACCACTCCCACTGACCCCGGAGAGCTGCCATGCTAGGTGAGGCTCTTCATTCTGTGCCCTAGCTGCTTGCAGTCCTGCAATTTGGATGGGCCCAGATCGCATGGTTATTTGAGGCTATTCCCCACTTTGCTTTTCCCTGTACTTCTACTTTTAGACTTAAAAAAGGAGATATTTACTTCTATTTATGCGTGTGCATGTGTGTCCGTCTTTGTGTGTTTGTACCATGTGTGTGCAAGTGCTTGTGTAGTCCAGAAGAAGGTGTGTGATCTCCTGGAGCTGAAGTTTCAGTCAGTGGTGTGTGAAGGGCCATGTGGGTGCTGGGAACTGAACTCGGGTCCTCAGGAAGAGCAACCAGTGCTCTTAACCATTGAGCCCTCCCTTCAGCACAGAACTTATGCACTTTGTCTCACCAGGGTTTCTCTATGGCATCTCCGAAAAGTAGACCCTTGTGTCCATGACACACACTGTCAAACAACAGTAGAAAGTGTTAAACAGTCCTTAAAACAACCGGCGTCCATGCTTCTCTGAGGTTTATGAGGAAGTCGCTTTCTCCTGGACACTAATGATCCCTCCACTTTTAGTTAGGCAAGAACACAGTGGCATTTTAACTCCATATTCTCTAATCTCTAGAGTTCGGTCCCTTTGCATAATGATTAAAATGGAATTCATTAGATACTTTGATTCTTTCCTGGTTGTGTTTGACATCTCCTAATAGCTTCCACTGTCAACTTGACACAGGCCAGAATTACCTGGAGGATTCCTCATTCAGGTGGGCCTGCGGGCATGTCAGTGGGGGCATTCTATTGATCATCAATTGATGTAGGAGACCTCAGACCACTGTAGGCAGCATCATCCCTAAGTAGGCGGTCTTGAGCATGAGCCAGTGAGGGAGCCTGCAAGCAGTGTTCCTCCTTGGTTTCTGCTTTAGTTCCCGTTTGAGCCCCCGCTCTGACTTCCCTTTATGAGGGACCATGATCGGGATGTGTGAGTCAAATAAACCCTTGCCTCCCTGGGTGCTTTTGGTCACGCTGTTTATCATGGCCGTAACAAAGCAAACTAAAGCAGCATCCATTTTCCTACGGTGCTATTTACATGTTCATTTTTAAGGATCCTTCCTGTATGTATTATGGATGATAACATTTTCTTACAATTTTTACATATTTATAATGAATTCTTTGTCTAAGAAAATGAGTCGCAATGAATATTGAATTCATTTTGACCAATGATGAAAAGAAGCCATTTCCTGTTGTTCCAGCACATTCTGGCAATGTACTAACCCTCGAGATACTTAGTACTTTTTCAGGGGTCAGATCTTTTAAGAGCACTTGGGGTGCCTTCCCAAGTTCCAGGACAAAGGAGTTGTCCTGTAACTTGAGGCCTACGTAGCTCCTGATAGTGTGACCACAGATGTTGCTAAGCGTGCCGAGGCCCGGAAGAGACCTAACCAGAATTTGCTTCTGTTCTGGGTGCTGAGGTCATGTGACAGTCCTCTCTTCCTGAGAGTAACACTTCCTGCCCACAATATTATGAACCAATAAATCTTGCTTTCAAGTGAACCGGAAAGCCCTAAACATGGACGGTGAGGCCACCCTGAGGGAGAATCAGGTACCACCTGTGCGGTTGTCATGGAACTCTGACAACTCCTACCGTTACCACGGGGAGAAGGATGCTCTGTTCCCAAGGCTTCAAGATGTTCATAGGGACATGCTGACAGTCTTCTAGGTGCCCCTAAATAGCAAGCTGATTAGTGTTGGTGAGGGAAGTTAGGGACATGGGTTGAAAGACTTTAGTGAATGTTCGAGAAGGTCACTGTCCTTGGGATAGGTCTGGGATTTCCTAGGATACAGGACACTGCTGAGGACCTGCCTGTGGAAAGCCACCTGCAGAGAGGCATGCACTGTAGTGTCCGAGTTGTTTTTTCTGTGGTTGTGGATTTCCCTTGGGGTGTCAAGGCAAGGAGGAAGACAGTGTAGCTAGCCCAGTCTGATGTTTGCCTTCACTGCAGGGCAGCATGTCTTCCCTCCCCTTAGGGCCGTCACTGTCTCTGTAGGGTATTATCTAGGGTTAGGAAACCCTGTAAAGCCCTTGAGTGTGGTGGCACCAACTTCCACTTACTTTTTCTAAAAAGTGTTTCTGTAAGGATATTGACAAATTTGGATTTTTCTCTAAGCCTTGCAAGGATGAAGCATGATGCTGAATTTCATGTGTAAACTAGATCGGGAGCATGGCTGCCAAGACATTTAGAGACAGTCATCAGAGAGGAGTTTTGGCTGATATTAACACTGAAATCCATAGAATGAGTACAGCAGATGGCCCTCCCTGATGTGGATAGGCCACACCCTATCAGGAATGGAGCAAGTGTGTAGTGAGGGATGGCATGAGGCAGGTGCACAGATAGGGGCTAATAACCTACTAGATTGATGTGACCACCAAGGCACGCTGCAGGGTATCCCTGTCAGCTTCTCATCCTGACCTCACCCATGTGCCCTGAGCCTAGCTCTCCTTGTGTGCAGCACAATCCATTAAAAATCACAACAAGGGAGCTTCGGATTGAAGCAGCAGCATTCCTGGCTTGCATAGACTGGCCAGATGACTGAGTCTTTTTGACCACAGCCAAAGCCAATGCCGAGGAGTGCTGCTGTGTTCCCAAGAATGTCCAGCCTGCTTGTCTCTGTAATACTCACTGCACTGCCAACCAAGAGCCGGGACTGCTACCACCTGGGCCTCATGAGTTGGAGCAAGGAGGCACAGAGAGGTCCAGTAAGTCCCCCAGGGCACTCAGCTAACAAGTAGCTGAGACAGGATTGGAACCCAGGCAGTGAGAGTCAAGAAGACCCACTCTTGTTTTCTCTCCCTTTCCTTGTCCTCTTCCTCACTTTGGCTTTGATGAAATTTACATGTTAGAAAATGCACCTGTTTTTAATGTATGGTGAATAAGTTCCCAGGGTTAGGCAGCTCTAGCTATGATAACACTTTTTTTTAGAGTATTTCTTTGTCTTCTCAGGTCCTGGATATTTCCTCTCAATAGAATCCTACCTTAGTCTACACCATGTGTCCACCTTTGTGTCATTGGGAATATCCTTGAGCTTTCTCCACAATGTCACATGGACACCAGTGTGCTTTTTTCCTCTTCTTATCCTTTAAACCACAAAGTGAGGGAACAGACAAACAAACCCCCCCATCCCTGCCCTGGGATCTATCTGTCCTAACTTTCCCAGGAGGAAAGTCTTGTCCATTCCAACTCCATCCTCTGGAAGTCACCACACACCCAAGAATGCTCCTCACTCATGTCTAAAAATAACACCTGTTTAAAAGGCGAAACCTCACCACATACCAATATTCAGAATATTATAACAGTAATTTCTTGGTCACCATACTAGCACTGTTGTGTGGCTATTTCTTCAATTTCAAACATATTCTCATGAAGAGAAGTCAGAAGCTCACAAAACATAAGAAAGCTGTAAGACCCAGCAGGCCAGGGGTGCAGTTTGGGTGGAGGGACTCTTCAGCAGAGCCCCCTACAAGTTGCACAGGAGACTGCAATGGCACTACTTTCGTGAGCTGTTACCCAGGCAGAGTGGGCTTTCCAGCGAAGCGGCAGCCGCTGAGTCACTTACGCTTCCATATGTAGCTCCAAGAAATTTACAGTCACCCAGGTAGACATGGGTGCAGCCATTTCTTGGGTCTATGGTGGGTGTCCTCTTAGGTAAATAGATGTTTGCTCATATCTCCTCTGCAAAAGTTACACAAGAAACCATCAAACCAATGTTCACACTGGTCAGTGTTTGGTAACAGCTGCTCTTAACAACGCTCTATCTACACAGTCAGGCTTTGCAGAATTTATTGTTAAATTAATTAATTGTATGTGTATGTGAGTGGACACATATACATCACAGGGCACGTGCTGAGGTCAGAGGACAACTTTCAGGAGTCAGTTCTCTCCTTTCCACTGTGTGGGTCCCAGGGATCGAACTCAGGCTGTCAGCCCTGACAGCAGGCACTTTGTCCCCAAGTCATCTTGATGACCCCTTGCAGGCTTTCTCACTCTCTCTCAGCAGGTGGGACAGCCTCCTTGAACACACTTAGATGGCTCTGGTCATGGGTACACACCCAGCTCCCTAGTTGGCACACTGGAAGATTCACTGAACCCCTCTTCCCCAGCAGTCTGAGTGCTCCGGAGGTGGCAGTGTGTGAGGCAGCAGCAGGGGCAGCCGGGATCAGGGTAGGAGCCCTTACCTGCAGTCGTGCTGGTCCAATTGCTGTCTGCTGGGGTGGTGTAGTTGCCCTTACCAGCTCTGGCGAGTGACAAGCTAAAACTTGCCAGTAGGAGTGGACAGAAGGGCTCCATGGCACACCTGCAAGGAGAAAAGGACGTGTTCAGAATGTTTCAGGGTAGCAGGCATTGGACATGGCTATCACTCACCAGGGAGGAAGAAGAAATAAGAGATAAACTCATTATAGCTTTCAAGGCAACCGAGAACTCTGCCTACTGACTTCACAGTTCCTTTTGTCTTCCCTACGCTGTGGTGGTACAGTCACTGTCATCTGAAGGGTCAACAAGAGGACCCATGGATCACGACTCTCACATGGTGAACCAGTGGAGAGTGGGATCAGACCCCAGTTCTGTCCATACTGCTGGCCAAGAGGCATCTTTATGAGTCACTTGGCACCCCGGATATCACATCCCCCACTACCACTGCTCACCTACTTCCCTTTCACAACTGGCCAAGTTGTGTCTATGGTGGGTGTCCTATCTTGAGTAAATAGATGCCAGTGCCTTCCTGTGTGCTTTTTGGGTCCCTCTCACTAGGCTGTCCAAATCCTTTCCCTGTAGATCTGGCTCAGGATCTCCTAGCCAAACAGCTTGAGGCCAGCTTCAGGGTCCTTCTCAACCCTCTCCCATCCAGTGTCTATATGCTCTCCCAACCCACTTCAACAGCTCCCTCCTGGCCTTGCCTGACTGTACTTCCTACTCTGCAGAGCCACTTACAGCTTCAGGAGGGCGCTGTTTACTGGGTTGAAAGATTGCGGGGGCCAGCTTGATAGGTAAGGGGTTCAACACAGAGAAAGCTGTTTCAGACCTAGGACATCACAGGCAGTGACCTCAGACTCACACTTGGGTCCCCATTTTGCCCAATCACCCTCAACCATCATTAGAGGTGGCAGTGATGGTGCCTACCCTGTAGTGTAGAAAACCTTGCTTGAGGACTCCTGAACGGGTAACGGCACCTGCTCAGTGCAGACATGTGGTCCTACCCGTGGAACCTCACCCACAGCCAGCCCAGCGGATCTTTCCCATCCTTAGTGAGAGATATTTTGCTACCCAACGCCTCCATGCAGGATGTGACTGGACCATATCTCAGAACTGAGACCAATAGACACTTAGTGTGCAGGCTGTTCCAATAGGGCACACTGATATTTGTAATTGCTGAGACGGGACTGGAACATGGCAACACCCAGTGCTTCTCGGTGGGCAGCACTGCCAAGGTGAAATGACCCATGACCCCAGACACATTGTTACAACTGCCCCAGAACAGTTAGTCATGGCCACCAGTACATGTGGCCTCTCCTCTCCCTAGTTCCCAAAGGCACACTGTAGATTTATAAAGTGAGCCACAGACACAAGCAGCTCTGTGCTCGAGTGCGAACCTGCTCTAGGCTGCTGTTTGCATGTGTGTTTTGTACACAGTAACCCCTCAAGGATTGAGGACCAGTGACTCCTGGATGCTGAGAGGCTGGGCAAACTTAGGCTGCAGAGTTATAAAGCCCATGCTGGAGGTCAGGACTGCTGGGAACACACACCCTCAACTGGATCCATGCTGCCTAGGCTCTCCTTTGGCGGGCAGCTCCACACAAGTTGCCACACACTGCCTCTTCTCTTTCCAGTCTGTTCCTGAACAATGTCATGGTATTTTACATACGCTAGAGGAAACTGTAGAGTACTTGATTGGGAATTATTAATTGCCTTAATCCAACCCCAGAGAAGTAGAATTCCTGGGTGAAACATTGTGCTTCATCCCAAGCATTAATAACCTTCCTCATCAAGCGCTCAATGACCTAAGAGGAGGCTAGGCCAGCACCCTTGAGGAAGACAAAGCTCAATTTCTTTCTCCTAGTATGGCGGTCTCCAAGTTCCCATAGCTGAAATTCCCGATGGAACCAGTAGAGGGAGATAAACTGTGCAGACATCAAAACCTGTCCAGCCATCTGGTGTCTCTTTATTGTCCCACTTGTGTTCTAAGGCTAGTGACAACCTGTCAGAGGATCCCTGGCCATCCACTCTCAGAAACTTGTGCAGGCTACTTGGTAAGCGGAGACACGAATCTGTGCAGAAATAACGTGTGAAAGAGGAATTAAATCCATGCTGAATTCCAAGGATTTGTAGCTGACTAGTATTTGCTGCGAGCCTGCCAAGTGCTAAGCACAGGCGGCATGGAGCTTGTGCAGTCTGCAGAGCTGGAATGAACAAAGCAGTCTATTCTCAGAAAAACATACTTTATTTTTACTCTACTCAAAACCCACCCATCTATCAACGTGATTATAAGCCTATCCTTCTTATTCCATTGAATACTTTTCCAGCACTTCCCCCAGCAACATTCAAGTACCCTGTTAGGATCTGGACATGCAAAGCTGAGCCAAGTCCTCCTGTCTGTGACCAGGGAAACCTTCCGGACCTGGAAGGGGAGTGCAAAGGCAGCCTCAGCAACCCCTCAGAAATTGCAGAGGCGGGGTCACACAACCAGGGTGTCAGTCACAGTTCCCCAGAAATGAAGCACACAACCAGAACCTTTAGCAAATGGGATGACACAGGTTGGAAGAAGCTGTGCACGACCTGCTGTCATGCAATCTTTGTTGTAAAGCATGGGAACAGCTTCCTAGGGAAAACTGAAGAGCAAGGGTGGGAAGTTTGGGGCTGAAGAATTGAGAAGACTGTGGAGCAATGTGTTAGCTGGTGAGTTGCTCCCTTAGGCTCACTTTCTAGTATAACCCATGTTACTAGAATCACACGGGGGCCCAATACTGGACGTTGGAGCTCTACATCCCTGGAGAGCCAAGTATGAATACCACCATCTCCCTCTCATCTTCCTGGGGGTGGGGATCATCTCTATGCCAAGGGAACATGAATGAAGGCATGGAAGGTGTCATGATATTTTTGTCAGGACCACTGTCCCATTCCCAGGGTCCTTCACTTTGGCACACACATTATCCATGAACCTTAGTTATGTAGTACAGTGAAGGTTCTAGGGGCAGGCTAAGCTTCATCTGTGACAAATCTCCACAGCAGAAAGTCCTTGGTAGGAGGACTGCAAACACTTGAGTAACAATGGACAGGCATTTCACTCTCACCAGCAGCACAGATGATATAAAGCCATGGGGCACGGGCTGCAGTTCAATGTAGGAAGTTCAGATCTGGGAAGGAAGGCACTAGTGCTATGAAATGGTGGCTGGTACCCTATGAACTCTTTTTGGAACACAGCAGAGTTGCCAGGCTTGGATTTTTCTGCCTTTACCACACCTTACGCAGACACCAAACAGAAGTTCTGAGGGTTTGGTTGTCTGTGTGTATAACAAATGTGAGTACAGTTACTTGGGAAGCCATGCAAGTGTGTCAGATCCCGTGCATCAGGAGTTACAATCTATTGGGATCCTTTTCCCTCAACTCCATGTGAGTGCTAGGGACCAAACTTGGGTTCTCTGCAACAGAAGTGTGTGCTCTTAGCTGGACAGTGGTGGCACACACCTTTAATGCTAGCACTTGGGCAGCAGAGGCAGGTGGATCTCTGTGAGTTAGAGGCCAGTCTGATCTGCAGAGTGAGTTCCAGGACAGGTTCCAAAGTTACAGAGAAACCCTGTCTCAAAAAACCAAAAAAAGTACATCCTCTTAACCACTAAGACATTTCTCCAACCCCAAGTATCTGTTTCTAATATCTGTCTTCTATAAAATCAGGACAAGGTGACTCATGTGCAAGGTAATTATTTTTTAATGCTCTAGGAAAAGACAAAAACTCAGATAAAATGATGCTTTTCCATGGCAAAAGAAACAAATCCCTGACCTTTCCGAACTTTTAGGTGTGAATATACTTACAGGGATGAAAGATTTAAACAATTATTTCTTTAAAAGCCATTCATTAAAACCTGCAGACACAGCATGTTTCAGGTATAGCCATGTGACCCTGCCCCTTTGAAGATGGCTTTGCTTATTAAAAAAGAAAAGATGTTCACAGGGAGTCCTCAGCTCAGTGGGTGAAGGGTGGAACTTAATTGCTTTTGAGCAAAGGTAATTGAATGTCTAAATGCAAACATGGAAACATCTTGAAAATGAGGTTGCCAAAGGGGTCCTCATGTTAAGAAAAAAGAAAAACAAAAACAAAAAAGAAAGGAAAAAATCAGGCAGGGAAGAGGGAGAGAAGCTTGGTGATGGGTATCCCTGTCCTGACTGTAGGACACCAGGCAGACATCCTCCAGGGTCTGGGCAGGGAGTTGTCTGAATAGGTAAGAGCGGACCTGCTGGAGGCAGGTATCATCCTGGGCATGCGAAGATGCACAGTGGGGTGACAATCAGGTACTGACCACTAGGAAGGAGGGGAGAAGAGTGGGAAGAAAAGATGGAGAGAGGGAAGGAAGGAGGCAAGGGGGAGAGATAGAGACAGAGAGAGGGAGGAAGAGAGATGGATGCAGATGAGTAATACTCGAGACTCAGCTTATCGGGAAGGACCCGTAAGCCTATGAGTCTGTCAGCAGGTCTGGTAGAGAACAATTTCAATTCCCTATGTATGTGGTACATGCTAATTTGCATAATTCCAATTATTCACCAAGCCCTCTTGAAGATGAGTAAGAAGTGAAGAGCCTCTTCTATAGGAATTCAGTCTCTTTCATCAAGGCAACAAGACCAGATCGTGGAAATCACAGGCTCCCACTCAGTAGCACATTTTCACAGTCCATAAAACTGTGTTTCATCAACAAGGAGTAAGTGTCTGGTCAACTCTAGCCAGGCACTGGTTCAGAGAACAGGAAGCTAACAGCATTTCTCTCAGTGGGGCCATATAGGGCACATGTAGCCAGACTCTTAGGAATACGTTTTGGTTTTCCCCGAAGGAAAAACTTTCCAACCTGAGAAGACAGAAGACCCTGAAAATCCACAAGTGGTGACTGCATGAAGACTGCATAAAACTAATGGATGGGAGCCACACAGAACAGTGAATGGGGGTGGGAACCGCATAAGCCAGTGAATAAGGGCCACATAAAATTACAATGAATGGGGGTTGTATACGATCAGTGAGTGGAAGTCACGCTCAACTCTTTTTCCATTAAAAGTTACATGGAAACAGAGGCAGGTAATTTGTTGGAATAACCTTTTGATCTTACTTAACCCAAATTTTCACCAGTGAGTGGATATTAGTGATTAAGGAAAAAAACGGAAGAAAATAAGTTCAATATCAATTTTAAAAGGAATGATAAACCACGGGCATAGCAAGGACTCTGCCCTCAGCGCCCTCTGCCACTGTCCCTTTCTCAATCAGAAAAGTTCATGGTGCTAATGGAAGGCACTGTCAACGCCTATAAAGGAAAGCTGAAATGTGACGCTCACCCACTGGGAACGGAACTCTGAATTCTTTCTGTGCCAGTCAGCTTTTCATGACTGTGACAAAAACCCCGAGGAAACACCATCCATGGATTAATCGGCTGAAGAGGTCAGAGCCCTTATGACCCTATCGTTGCCCACAGGACAAGTGTTTAGGGGATGTCTCATGCCATAACTGTTTTCACGCTCACCACTGTATGTTCATGTTAATAAGCATGTCCAGATGTTGTTAGCTGTGAAGTCACTACCACACGAGGTGTGGCTTTGCAGTGATGGCGGTCTTGCTCCACCCACTTCTGTCTTCCAGTCCCTTGGTCACTCGGCTGTCCTGAGCAGCTACCTCATTCTTATCTGCTTCAGCATCTCGCTTGCATCCTGGGCCTCTCATCAGTCACCATGGATGGTCTGCTCTCCATATCAGCCCTCCACACTGTGCAGATGACCCTGACTCGATCATTGATGACAGCTGTCCATCCGTCCACCTGCCTCCTGCTGCCTGAAGCCCCCTGTCAGCTCCTCTCTGCGCTTGAACATGCTTTTCTGCGAGAGTCACCTCATGGTCTTGTATTACTTGCAAGGGTGGCTGGTGGCAGGGGGAGAGGGGAGGCTGAGTCCCCACAGCACCTAGTAAAATTGTAGGAGTGCTGCCAGGAGATGGGGAAGCAGGTATCTGAGGCTGGGGACCCAGTGTGTTTGAAAGGACAAGACAGATATGTGCTGTTCCTTTAGGGCCACCGGCCCTCGCACGGCTGGTAACTCCTTCTCTGAGCCCTCATTCTGTCAGAGCCCCAAGGACACTCAGTGGGGCTGTGAGGCTCTGCTTTCAGGGACAAGGAGGCATAGGAGGCGGTCCCTCTAGTTTTACCAAGTCTGCTGGTAGCCCGGGCACCGCTCCATTTCCCCTCCGGTCACATCTTGCACCCTGTTCATGAACTATCCAGATGCACCTGGGGTCTTGGGAAGAGACACCTGTGCAATGTGGGCAGTGTTTGGGGAGCCCTCCAGGGACGGGGCAGACACTTACAATGGTAGAGTCGGAGAAAGATCACCTCCTCCCTTCATGACTTTTATTTGACTTTATCTGGGCTATAAATCAGCTAGTGATGACCTTCGATCAAGACCCATAAATAAACCAACACTTCCATTACTGCCTGCAGGGGAGATGCGAAAGCGTTTTTTTTTTGATAGACTAATGTTCTCTGTGCTGAAATCAGCTTCTACAATCTCGGGATAATTGCCACAGCAAATGTGCCAATCGCCTGGGCACCTGACTCTACCAGTGCCTTTAAACTAAGTGTGTGTGTGTGCAAGTCAGAAGAGGGTCTCTGATCCCCTGGAGCTGGAGTTACTGGAGACTGTGAGCTACCCAACAGGGGTGCTGGGAACCAAAGTGGGCCCTCTGCAAGAGCAGGAGTAAGATCTCTTAAGCATCTCCCTGTCCCTTCCTTTCTTTTTCATATCCTTCCTTCATTCCTTCCCCCACCACCCCCCCCCCATCACCATGGGGCAGCTTCTGGAGCTAGAGGATAGAAAGAGCCTCTAATTACAGACAATGGCAAATCTCACCACCCCCTTCTGAGTTGTCTGTCAGACCCACTGCCCTAGGGCATGGCAGTCAGCAGAGTCTCAGCCAACATTGCTCAGCTTCCAGAAGTAGCAAGAACCTTCCGCATGAGCAGAGTGAGTCACAGAATGCGGATCCTGGTTGGGTCAATGAGACCTGCTTTAATTGGGCCACAAGACAGGAGATTTAAGAGGCAGGTGACACAGATCTGCAAGGGATGTGGCTTCCAGCTAGAAGCTGTTGCACAGACACCATCGATCCACCTGCCTGCTACAAAGCTCTGTAGGAAGAAGGCACACACAAGTAGCCCCACACCACCAGGAGGCAGCACAACGATTCCCACTCCATTGAGGCCAAGAGGAAACAGGCTGGAGAGCTATGGTCTGTGGCCTCATTAGGATTCATTGGGCTAGCTTATGCCATCCATGGTCACTGGGAATAGAAAGTGTGAGAAAGAATATGAAGGGACTATATTCCAGAAGTGAAGAGATGAGCATTATCCCCCTGAGACAGTGATATTAGCAGCCCATCAGAGATCCTAGGGAAACAGTCAATGTCTTCTCTTGATGGGGGCTGGGGTGATAAGAGAGACATGCTTTTGTCAAAATCCATCACGCCCTAGGCTTGAGGTATGGGCATTTCTACCCTTATTATGTAATTGCATCTTTAAAAGGGGGGTGCTTTTAGAACATAGTGAAAAACTGGGCCTGTAGTTCAGTGGTTAGAACGTTGGCAGCATTCGAAACCCTGGGTACAATCTCCAGCATGAGACAAGATGGAGTGAGGCCATGTGCACACCTGTAACCAAGAGGATCAGAAGTTCAAGACTGTCCTTGGCTACTTAGTACATTCAGAGTGCCAAGTCAGTCTGAGTTATAGGAAATGTTGCCTCAAAAACAGAGAAACCAAAGCCAGTGTCCAGATCCCTTCTAGTAAGCTGACTCCAACTTGTAGCTTCTGTACTATGATGTATTTTCACTCATAAATTAACACTCTGGGACCCTAACTCCCAGGTAGGGAAACACAGCTCTCTGAGTGTCTCGAAGGGGCAGAGGGGACAGGCAGAAAGGATGCTATCCAAATGGCACCAGCATGTATTTATTATTGTGATTCTATTTTGCCTTGATGGTATGCTGTACCAAACCTTTAGTGGGGCTTACCACATGTTTCCCATGCCTCCTTTGTTAAGAAAGGGTGTAGTACATAGGCGTGATGCTCATGCAAGCAAATGTAAGGTAAACTCATGCCCGCAGATGCACTGACAGCCAACTATATGCACTCAGACTGGTCATCTCAGCAGCAGAAAAGGGGCCTGGTTTCTCCTTCCTAGCTGGTCCAGCATGAAGTAGAGAGTGGCAACAAGGTGAGACTGTAGTTCTCCATGCCATCGATAGTAAAATATGTATTCTATACCCTTCCCCAGGAGCACTCGGGCTAGGTTGAAACGAGGCTGCACACATTAGTTCCAGGGCTTGGACAGGTTCACCCCTTACAACCTCTCAGGCACCAAAGAAGCTGTGCATGTTCAATGCTCACATGGCTGGGTATGCCAGAAAGGGTATAAAATGCTTCTCTGAGTTATAATGCAGGGACTTTGCTTTTCTTTGCTGCAATTTGGGACCAGATTTTCTCACCAAATAACCAGAGGAGCAGTTATAAATAATTCATGCACATTGTTTGGCTCAATTAACACTGCTCACGTGGCAGGGACAGTTCTTTGAAGTCAGTTCTTTCTTGAGGGACATTGACACACCCCCGCTGGACCAGGCCACGCATCTGCCCTAATTAGATATTTACACAAGAGACCCAAGTGAAGAGGGTGGATTTATTTTTAATAAAAGAAGATTAAAACACGTGTATCCACAGCAAATTAAGGAAGACTAAACCGAATTAAAATCCTCCCACAACTTGGCATGGTGAGGGGCTGAAAATGAGGTGCCTTGCTTGAAATTATGAAATGATGTAGCGTGGAGTCAGGAAATAAAAATCAGGCATCCCCTCTCCCCAGTTTCCTTTCCCAACGTCCTGTAGGAGTTCCAGCGAGGATGCCAGGGAGTGTCACATGCCCTCTGTCTCTGGAGAGCCATTCTAAGCCCAGCCTGCATGTCCACCTGTGGAGCAGCAGCCATCGGCTGTGAGCAAAGAGGTAGATGGGGGTGTTTCAGCAAGAAACAGGGTGACGCTGGATGACCTTGGGCTACATAGTGATGCAGGCCACACCTGAGCTCCTCAAAGAAAAAAAAAGGCTGGGTATCTAGACTTTACGTGGATGGACATGCTTTTAAATATTCCAAATTAATGCAAAATCTTAGAACCTTAAGCAAGAACCTCTTTACAGTGGCTCCACACAGAGATGTGACCATTAAATGCAGAAACACATTTCTTATCGACAGAAAGCTGGGACCTAGGTGTTTCCAGTTGCTTTGTCCATAAAAACAAACGACTTGAAGCAATGCACTTCAGTATCAGGAAGGAAGGGGTTAAAGCTACACTAAAAACAAGTGTGTTGAAGAGATAAACAAATGCCATCTCATGCTAAGGGGTTGGATTCAGAGAGGGTGCTGGGAGAGGCCAGTATGGGCCGTTCCCCCCACTTGCCTTTCCGGCTCCTGCCTCAGCAGCCACCTGCTCTCTGCATCTCAGTCATTCGGAGTCTGTGCTTGGGACCTTCCCTAGCATATGCTCTACCAGGAAAATTCCTCCCGATTTTTCACCTGTCTGGCTCATGCCAGCCTCTGCAGGAACCCATGCCTCCCTTGCAACACTGCTCCCCACCCATTTCTAGTACTGAAACATCACTGATTCACCACCTTCCTGCCTGATGCATAATGCATCGAGGAACCATGTGCTCCCCACGGTCTTTTTCTAATGCCGAGGTGACCACAACCCAGAAAGACCACAATCTATTTGTCCCAGACATGCATATCTAGAAAAAGAGTCAGAGTCATATTCTAGTCCAATTCAAGTCAGTTTGTGGTAGCTTCATTCATTCATGCATCTACGGATTTAGCCACTCACCCATTCATTCATATGCAGTCATTTAACTATTTAGTGACACTGTGTCCAAAGTTGAACAAAATAAAGCAAGCCTTTCCACCCCTTTTACAGATCAGGCTACTACAGCAAAACACCTCAGATTGTATAGTTCTAAAGTTTGGAACCCCCAGATGAAACTGCCGGCACACTCAGTGTCTAGAAAAGGATTTACTTCTTGGTTCCTAGATAGCTCTGCCTCCTAAGGTAGATGTCTGTCAAGCTCCTTTCAGGCCCTGGCTCCTGGCGCTGCTCAGAGGTGGGATTCACAGGCTGGGTGTGTAGCACAGTAGTAGATTGTTTGCCGAATATGTGCAAGACCCCAGGTTTAATCTCCATCACCACAAAAAAGCAAAAACAAAGACATACAGAATCCTCCCTCCTCTTCCAGATCATCACATTGGTCACCCTAACAGAAATCCTCCCAGCTCTTTGCTGTAGGATGGCTCTGCACTCCTGGTCTCAATGAGGATGTCCTCTTGGCCTCCCTGGGCCCAGACAATGGTAAGACTGCATTCTCGGAGCAGCAAGAGAACTTCAGGAGAAAGCAAGAGAGAGTGGTGGTGGGGGTCGGGTGAGTGTGTTAGTTCCAGGGTTACATTTCATTTTATTGATGCTCTGTTGGCAAACTACAATCAGCAGCATATAATTATAGAAAATTATAACAGCAGCGCAGCAGCGAACCCAAAAGCTACCCTTTGG